ATATCAAAATATCGCCTTCCGTACGAATTTAATGTTCTGAATTCTGTAAAGTATAACTGTGGTCAGATCTCTTTGCGGATCTTCTGTTCGGTTCGTCTTGACTGGGTGGTTTTCTCCGATTGAGTGGCAAGAGAATCGAACACTGCTTTTCGGATCTGCAACTTTACATCACATATTAATCGGAGTACATTAAAAACAGGAAATTAATATCATCAGATGAAGTACATAGATATTGAATCTGAGATATACCTGAATGATATTTTCATCGTCCGTAACTGGATTTCTACATATTAATCGAAATTCATTCAACTGACAAATATCAACACTTTGCTCCTCAGATCTGCAAATAAATATGACATGAAATATCGAATTCCATAAAAATTAATTCTGATTTTCATGAGAGGCGGAACATGGATATGTTTAATCTGAAGCATATAGGTACCTGAATAATATTTCAACATTCGTAACTGGAACGCGATATATTTTTGTTATTCATCATTTCATCAACTATCTCAATGAAGACGAGGCAGGCAGATAAACAACACTTTTCTCTGCAATGATACTGCAATACTGCAAAAATAATCTTTCATTACCACTCACAAAGCAACGTTGTCAAACGAGTCCTGTCGTTGGATAAAACCCGAGATAAAACATAATAAAACTAAGCCATGATATATAATAGATCATTATTGACTTTTTCGAGCAACCAGCATAATATGTCTGTATATCTCTTGTACCCTATATCAAAATATCATGTTGATGTTGAAGACTTGGCCACAATGTGCTGAATGCTGAGAACTGACAAGGCACCGCCCACAATTCGTGCGCCGGGTTGTCACGTTTACCCTTAAATAATAATGTGAATTAATAGAATAATATTAATATTAACACAAATATATTATAAACAATATAAGTCACAACAGATGAGAATATCTTGAGACAATTGATTTTTATGTCTAATTAGGAATATAACCTATATAATACAATACTAAATTGAGAATTTATGAATTATTGAATAACTAATATTTCCTAAGTTCCAATCGTATTTCAACATATGGCAACTGTGCTATGGTCTGTCCCTACTTACAAAATCGTGACGTCAGTTTTTACTCGCGGTAAATTTTTAGCCGTTTGGAAATTACCGTCGCATTATTGTTGATCTCAGAACCTTAAAATCGAATGAAAAATCCAAAAAATATATGAAATTGAAATTCATTTGGGTGATCAATCTATTCAAGGAAATATAATAAATATTAAAAAATAGTCAACTCGCCTATTTCATTTCTGTGGATGGTTCCATGGCTGTTAGCAAGCAGTGTATATCACTGATGAAAATGACTCCACATGGTCATAGTGGGTACTTTCAGTATATATCTACTGTTCTTGCAAATCCTCAGAATCCTAACTAAACTAATACGAAAGGTACGGGGAGAAAAGAGATATATAGTATACAAAAAATAAGATGAAGTATTGAACACGGATATACTGACAGTTTTATTTTCGAAAGTCTGACGATTTAAAATAATTTAACCCAGGCTAAAAATATAATCTTTCCCAAAATATCTAGATATGTTTTGTTAACTGGAAAGAAGAGGAAAATAATGAACAATATGTGGTTTAGTTTTTATATAAGCGCGCATCCATATTGACATTTGGTATAATGATAATAATAAGATGTTTTTTTCGACAGAATCAGAATACAATGGAAGAAATAATGATAGCCAGTTAACATTAGGTAAATAAACATTAGAAAACCCACAGAAGCAGCAAATGCTGTTTGTACGTGGTGAAAAAGTATGAATTTCGTTTTACGAGCTATTATTGAAAATACTAAGATCTCGACTAAGATTCATAATCTTTGAATATGAAACTAAGTAGGTACAAAAATTCAAGAATGTGAAATATTTATATACAAAATAATCAAAATGGATAGGTATAAAAATAAATGGAACGAAAAAACTCAGGTGTTAAATAATCACAAACACTTCGGAGACGTATAATATATATGTATATAAAATTTCTGACAATACTGAAATAAATAATTTCGGAATATGAATCTACGTACGAAAATTCAAGAGTGTAAAATACTTAATTAATTTGTGTGTGTGAAAATGGGCACTCGAAAATATCTATAATAATTGACAAATTGTTATATATGGAACGAAATCCATCGATAGTTCACCTAATTCGGCTCTAATCAAGCTGAAATTTGAGGACTGGTTATTTTTCTGCAATGAAATTGGATTTTTTGAATAACGAATTCAATAAAAATTCTATTTTTCAAATTGGATGCGCACTGTTAAAAAAAAGAAGTTTTTTGTTTTGCCTGAAGACGGATCTGGATTCTAAATTCGATTCATATTTAGTTTTGATGAGAAATATGAGTTGAATATACTTACCAAGTATGAATCGTTTATACACAGTGGTTCAAAAGTTATGACCTGACCATATAGATGAAGATTTTGCAAAATCAAGATTACGTTCTGTATCACAGATATTGAAGATGGTAAATTCTTGAAAGATACAGTTTCGTGCAGGACGCACGAAAATCAGAAGGAAGTATTCCTTGATCGGAGAAAATACAACAAACGGTATCGAGAATCAGTCGAGAGAAATCCATGAAAATATGCATGTGATTGTGATTAGAATTCTGAATCTTGAACCACCCTGTATCTGAATCTGTATCCGATTGAATATCAGTAAATAGTGAAACAAAAGTTGAGATAGGGACATGTGAGCCGTTTTGATCGATAATGAATATTTTCGACACAAAAAAATCCTAATGAAATCAGCTCTTCAGGGAGTCTCTTAAAATGCGATAAAATACAGGGTGTTCCGTTCGAAATATCAATGTTGCTACTACTTTCTAGTAGAAGCGGCATAACTGCATTGTCGAACATATCTTAAATGAAAAGAGCGTATACCAAAATATAAGCATGCACATTTTCATGGATTTCTCACGACTGATTCTCGATTTAAAGATATAGTGTAAGCTCGTCGTGACATACCCTGTATAGGGTAATGAAGTTAAATGAATACAGAGAAATATAAGGAAAAATTACTAGAGCGTAGCCATAGCACCAGTGCGAGAATATTGCGCCTGGTGCGCAGGTCGCATAAATGACTTCATCATACTTCGTCTCGTAAGCAACTGGTTGGCTCAGTAAGCAGAACATCGGCATGCCAAGCCGGCGGGCCGGGGTTCGAATCCGTGCGAGGCTCATCTTTTTTTTATTTTTTTCTTGTTCTCAAGTGATTTCTAAAAAATATTCTCTATGGGAAATAGGTTCATTTAGGGGTTTTCTATGTTTAGGCCAGAGGTGAGGTTCGGTTAGGTTAGGTTAGAATAGAATAGAATATTTTATTTGGTGTTAATAAACATCAAGTTTTACACAAACATGTCAACGAAACAAGTACAGATATACTCATAAAATAGATAGGTTAGGTTTTCTCATTTTTTATGCAGGAACAATATTTTCCTTCCTCAAGAAAAATTCTCCTTCTAGAATATTTTATTTGGTGTTAATAAACATCAAGTTTTACACAGGTCAACGAAACAAGTACAGATATACTCATAAAATAGATAGGTTAGGTTTTCTCATTTTTTATGCAGAAACAATATTTTCCTTCCTCAAGAAAAATTCTCCTTCTTCAAGAAAAAAGTATGATGAAGTCATTCATGCGACCTGCGCACCAGGCGCAATATTCTCGCACTGGTGCTATGGCTAAGCTCTAGTGAAAAATTGAGAGAATTTCTCTGCACTCACCTGTGACGTAGGTTGTACACACCTTTGTTTACTTGACATCACCAGCGTGAAAAAAGTGAGGCTTTGATGAAACAACACGAAACACTAGAACAACACACGATCCCGATATTATTATTTTTGAATCGAATGAGGAATACAAAAACACTATATACGAATCAATACGATCACACAGTTTTCAGGGAACACTCAGTTTGGAACGATAAATAATTCATTTCGCGTATTTTTCGATGTCGACCGTACGTGATGACATCTAATATAAGACTGTCATGATTTACCACCTGGTCCCGAATGAATGAGTAATAAGTTGAATCATGCTGTTAACCGATTAATTTCCGAACAAAAAAGGTTTATCTATGACTAATGATGATAATAAAATTGAACGGGGGGAGATATTCTGTATACAGGTGCTATTTTTTTTTCGAAGATCACTAACGATATGGAAGGATTTTACAAAAATCTCGTGATTATGGAAGAACTTCACATACATGAAGAGATCGAACCCTTTTCATTACCAAGAAATAAGTTACCACAGTGACATACAGGCAAACAATTTTTGTTTTGAAAATATTGGTCACTTGTAGTGGAAATAAATCAAAGGAGTAGCTACATCTGAGATTTCTAGATGTATCGAGTGGTATCGGCTCGAAATACCTATCAGATTATACTATCACTCATAATGAAAAAATCACCATTTATTTTTAATCTGAATATTTCCATGATATTCTCCATGTTTCACATTCTTCATTCGTAAACAAATACCAAATATTTAACCACTGAACTATAACCCTAGGGTTATAGTTCAGTGGGGTTAACAGTTGTAACAAATGTGGATATATTGTAAAGAATGAATCCCTCTCTGTAACTGGGTAATTGGTAATCACTATTTGATAGGTTCGTGAATTTTTTGGCCTTGAAATTTGGCCAAATATTCCGGATAGGAATGTAAATTGACAACTTGACAGTTGACACTTCTTGACTTTGAGAGTTTTGACACACCTTGACTTTGACAGTTTTGACACTCTGCCTTTGACAGTTTTGACACTCTGCCTTTGACAGTTTTGACACTCTGCCTTTGACAGTTTTGACACATTGGCTTTAATTTTCGTTTCCCAGATCCCAGAGGGAATTGTGAATTCATTTCATAATCGTAAATTTATTTCATATTTCGTGCTGAAAACTAATCACATTAATCACAATCAGTGATCGTTACTATTCCTTACATAAGATTAAAGAATGGCTGATCTAGCTGCACCTGTTCGTGTTTCTCCCCTTATCAAGGTAAATTTTTCCAAAATTATCCTTACATAATAGTTTCATAACCACAAATAATCGCAGTTTGGAAGATGGAGTTTCCTAGGACTTGGAGTTCTTTACGGAGCTTTTCATCACAACAGGCTATCCAAAAAAGAAGCCGCCTTCAGGGAAGTTGATGGAAAATTGAGAAAAGAGCGAGATGCCAAATTAGCAGCAGAAAAGAAAGTTGCAGCAGAGAAGGAAATACAAGAACTAGAAGCAATGGCAAAATAGAACAGTTGTTGGTTTTTATGTATGTATTTAGGAATAAAGTATGGAGACTAGGTAGTGTGAATTCTTTGATACTTATTATATCTTATTATTCTGAAAATTGATTTTCGTAGAATGAATAATAAATGTCATCTGTTAAATTATTCTTACCTAGATCATCAATGCAAATGAAGCTTGAAATTTATTGTATTTGTACATAACAGAATAAAAAACAATCACATTTTTGGAGATATTATAGTAGCTAGGTTATTAGATCACTTTGAATACTGAAAATGAGTAGCATTTCCCAATACAAGAAAGTAGAAAAAACTAAGATAGAAACTTGGAAACCCAGCAGCTAATAAGTAATTCCTTGGAGAGAAACTGGTAGAGCATTTTCACCTGGATTATCCCATCTTGGCAGCCTGGTTAAATTTGACTTGGATGAGAACATTTCTGGAGAGATAAATTACATAACTAGGTTGCAACTGGTTTTCCAGCTAGTTGCTTTTTGAGCCCATTTTTTAGGAATTATTCTTACAGAAAGAATAATAGAGAAGTGCCATCATAGGAAATGTTAACAAAAACAGTGATTGTTTATCAAAATACTTTATATAACTCTTCCACAGAAAAAAAAATATTCAAAATGTGGTCGGTTGGCTGAATTTATTAATGGAAAATAACACTTAATCCTCTCTGGTCTCCCAGAACTCGCCCTCCTCCATGCCCAATTATCAAACGCCCTCCTGGCATACAGGAGGTCAAACTTCTGGTGGAGGCGCGCCCAAAAAAAACAACAAAAACCCACCCCAGGGAGAAATTTCAGGAGCATGTTGCTGACGTCTTAGAAAAGATCCAATAACTATATGTCCGAAAGTTAGTGTAAATTTAAAAATAATTGTGATATTCGAATGAAGTTAGAGGTATCTAGGGGTATTTTTCAATAAAAATATCAAATTTTATGTTAGTTTGTCTCTGTCGTGGGGGTGGCGCCACCTGCATGTCTTGAGTTTTTTTGAAGTCCTACTTTTTTGTGCGCCCTGTATCACGTTTTATTGTAAAAAATATATTTTTGGTAGAGGTCGCTGCGAGCAACTGTTTTCAAGGTTGGTAGAACTGATTATAATTTGTATAGTCATCAGTTCTACCAACCTTGACTGTTTTTGAGCTATCGAGATCTGAAATAATCGATGCATTTGAATTATTTCCATGGGGCGCTCGTAAGATTTTGCGCAATTTTTCTCGTGCTTGTCTGTGGATCTTCTTCGATTGCCTGAAGAACAGCTCCCTCAATTTCTGGACACCTAGTAGTCAACGGTCTGCGTATCACTGGAGCTTTTCTAATGGATCCAGATTCCATAAGACATTGAAACGGTTTCTGAATGTCTGGTGATTCGGCAGTCGATGATTAGGAAATCTTTCATTTGATTGTTATATTAGATACTAGATACCAAACATTATTGTAATATCACAATTATTTCGAAATTTATTAACAAAAAACAAATATAAGAATTTAACTTTGATCTGTATCTCAGAAACGAAGAACTTTCGGATATATATTTATACGAACTTTTCTTCTTATTTTGACGTCAGCAACATGCTCCTGAATTTTCTACACGTACTTAAGAAACACCCGGTATAGCATATAATATATAGTATAATTAGATTATCATTTGTTGTTGTTAACATGACGTGCTGTTGATCAATCAATGAATAAAGAACGTTTGCAATACAATTACAGTTTTAACTAATGTAATCTTTATTTCATTATATCATATATAATATATCCATGCAAATACAGTCCAAGCATCGAATGATTGGTCCTTCGAACCGGATCTATTTAAATCAAACCTTTATTACTGCCAACTGCTTCACAATATGCATACAGAGCAAGACTAACTGGAGTAACAGTGAATGCCAAGCAGCTGTAACTTTTAGGTAGTGACAAGCAGTTGAAGCAGTTCAGCGAATTATTTCAAGAATTTTATAGGATTATATAAAACAATATGGTCATCTCTGGTATTATTCAGCACCCTCTCCGGAATCGATGCAGACCTGTTGCTAGTCCTTCAAATTAGTCCTTCGAGGCGGATCTATTCAATTCAAACCATCAAGACTTCAAAGGGTACAATATTCAATAAAAAAGCGTACAAGTATTGAAAAGAGAGGATTTCGGGATCCTAGTTCTAGTTGTGTAAAACTGGCTCAGCCAATGCTTTGTGTTTCGAGAACCTAGGACATCTTTACTGTCAACAATTGGTGAACAATCATTCCCGTTAGCCCGTTTTAAGCAGAATAGGATGACGTTAATTTCTCTCTGTAATATACTTATACGATCTTTTTTTGAATGCGACTGTACAGAGCAGCACTCAAGAATCTGAAATAACTGAATGCACAATCTGAATGGCAACAAGCAGTTCAGTGAATCAAAGGATTAAATGAAAGACAAATATGGTTTGCAAGTAAAAAAACTGAATTTATTAACGGAAAATCAGACTTCAAAAATCGTCGTTTCAAAAGTAGCCAAGAAAACTCTCATCTAGTATTCTTCAGCTCCCTCTCCTTCACCCTCTCCGGAATCCATGCCGACCTCTTCGTAGTCCTTCTCCAGAGCGGCCAAATCCTCTCTGGCCTCCGAGAACTCGCCCTCCTCCATACCCTCACCGACGTACCAGTGCACGAACGCCCTCTTGGCGTACATGAGGTCGAACTTGTGGTCGAGGCGCGCCCAGGCCTCGGCAATAGCGGTGGTGTTGGACAACATGCAGACGGCACGCTGCACCTTGGCCAGGTCGCCGCCGGGCACCACGGTGGGTGGTTGGTAGTTGATACCGACCTGGAAAAGATGGAAAAATGTGTTTTTTCTGTGACGGGAAAAAAGTTTGGCATTTCATCTCTGTTGGCAGGTTATAAAATGTCACTTTTCATAAATTACTTTTTTCCCGTGGGAAAAAAGTGAGTACTTCTTTCCCGGATATATATCACATATATATACTCTGTTAATGGCTTTTGTTGTGCTATAGTTCCGAAAAATAAGTCAATAATACCGTCTCCGAGAAAGAACTGCAAGTCCTTTTATCTTCCATTCGACTTCGCGGTTTCGTATATTACTAATAAACAACTACTGAATTCGCAATTTTTTAAAATCAAATCACAGAATTGAACTGACAGAAGTGACATCAGATATTTGATTACTTCAAAAGAATGATAAAGATGTCTATAAAACGCAGGTGTCCCTATATACTGTTAAAAACTTGAAATTTCACGTCGATAAATTTCAGATTTCGAAATAATGTAATATCTTCCCAATATTGATTCGTCCTTCCTTCTGTCACTGAAAAAAATAGTGTATTATACACGGGAAAAATATTAGATTTAAGCTCACGGTTTTTTGTCTCCCTCCGCTACGCGTCGGGAGACAACACAACCTGGAGCTAAAATCTACTACTTTTTTCCCTTGTATAATAAATAACTATTTATTTATGCATTGTACTGGGTGATCAGTCAAGGGGCAGCGGCATCTCATAAGATATTATTATTAATAATAATAATAATAATAATAATAATAATAATAACATTTATTGATCCCAAGAAACATACAATGATATTAAAGAGGGAAACAACAAAAAAAAATAAAATCAAATATGCAATACAATGAAAGATAAACAGTTCAATCAGAATTAATTGATACAAGGGGAGAGTTAAATTGATAAAATATATTTCTTCAGTTCACACTTGAATTTTGTGACGAATCTAATAGATTTTATTCTGTTGGGTAGACTATTATAAATATTTATTCCACAAAAATACAATGATTTTTTCCCGAATTGGGTTTTTATTTTAACAGTTTTCAAATTTTCACTTTGTCTGGTGTGATGCTCATGGGTATCAGAATTGATATTGAAAGTAAGATTCGAGTGCTTTTTCTTATTTTTAGTGAAATGAATGAAAATGCATACTTTCATTTTGAAGAGAGAGTCAATATCTAGTAGATCTCTTGGTTTGTATAGTCTAGATTTTGATTCCAGAAATGATAGTTTATAGATACATTTTATGTCTTTATTTTGAAGAGATTTCAGAGGTTTGAAAACAGATTTTGCTGCAGTACCCCAGATCGATATCAGATACTGCAATTTAGAGTAAATCAAACTGAAATAAATTAATTTCAAGTATTTAAGAGGTATAAAAGACCTCAATTTGTATAATATACCAATAATGGGAGATATTTTTTTCCTGAGCAATTGAATATGCGATGACCAAGATAGAGTCTGGTCTGTTAAACCTAAGAGTTTGGAGTTTTTTGCAGGATTTATACAAAAATTCCCGAATTTTAACGTATCTATTTGGTTATCAGGTATAACTCTTGTCGAGAAAAAATCATTGTATTTGGTCGTATAGATTTGAGAACAGAAAAATCATGATAAAGTCGCCAAGAGAAATTGCTAGAAATTATTTTCGAGTTTGTCAAACGTCGGCTAGAGGGCGTAACAACTAACACCAAGTAGAAAAAAGGGATTTTTATAGAATGTTGTCTAATGAAAGTATGTGGATGATATCATTTTCATATCAACTGGCCATTTCCCTTCATTTATGTCCAAAACGCTTTGTTTTATATATCAAAATAAAGCGGTGGGGGAAGTTCAACTGGTTTTTCAAACAAACAAAGATTTCTCCCGTTTATTTCGACCGATTTTAGCAAACTTGGGCTCATATGGAAGAGCATAATTTGCCCCACGAAACGCTTATTTGGTTTTGAATTTTTGACATTTGGTGGCGCCGCTAGAAATATTTGTACTTCCCCAAATAGATATTAGATATTATTAACTTGATTAAAAAAATGAAATTTTGAATTTTATATACGGGGTGTTGCGAAAATATCCAATTTTTCTTGATATTGCGAAAAAACTATTTTAATTTCTCAACTTCAACGCCCTGTATCTCGAGAACTGAACACTTGAAGAGGGTAGCGAGCGGCCATATCTCGTGATATATTGGTCGTATAGATTTGAAAAAAGAAAAATCATGATAAAAGTCGCCAAGAGAAATTGCTAGAAATTATTTTCGAGTTTGTCAAACGTCGGCTAGAGGGCGTAACAACCAACACCAAGTAGAAAAAGGGGATTTTTATAAAATTTTGTCTAATGAAAGTATGTCGATGATATCATTTTCATATCAACTGGCCATTTCCCTTTATTTATGTCCAAAACGTTCTGTTTTATCTATCAAAATAAAGCGGTGGGGAAAGTTCAACTGGTTTTTTAAACAAACCAAGATTTCTCCCGTTTATTTCGACCGATTTTAGCAAACTTGGGCTCATATGGAAGAGCATAATTTGCCCTACGACACGCTTATTTGGTTTTGAATTTTTGACTTTTGCTGTCGCCGCTAGAAATATTTGTACTTCCCCAAATAGATATTAGATAAATACTCAAGGTATCTAACAGAAATGAAATTTTGAATTTTATGTACAGGGTGTAGCGAAAATATTCAATTTTTCTTAATGAGATATTGCGAAAAAACTATTTTGATTTCTCAACTTCAACGCCCTGTATCTCGAGAACTGAACACTTGAAGACTGTATTGTCCCTGTATCAGTGATTATGAAATCACGAGGGCTATCACCTGTCTAGCGTTGTCGGTCGAATCTCGCAACACCCTGTATAATACAGGGTGTCCCACTAAGGTCGGCGAGGTACGATATTATGAAAACCATGAACTTTACAGCTTTGAGAAATAAAATCAATTCATAGAATCGGTGATAAGAAATTGATTTAAAATATTTTCTAATTTCTTAAATGACCGATAGATGGAGAAGTTACTATGATACAACGAATTATCTTATAAAATCGCTGTAAAAGGTAACTTCTGATAACGAAAATGAAAAGATCATCAATTTGTCGTTGTTTGATTCGAATTTTTCGAAAAAAATATGAAAAAATGGAGGAGTCAGTAAACGACGCCCTCTATAAGACCCGGTATCAACTAGCGACCGTAAACAAGGTAATTTTTTTGATAAGTGTGAAATTATCTTCCAAACGAGCCCAAGTTGATGATTAAATTTGGATGATGGGTATGTAAGATACAGCAATTCGAAAAATATCTTGTTCGCAAGCTTCCCCTACCATTATTTTCAAAGATACGAAAAAAGTCTGAAAACGAAAACAACGATAAAATAATGATCTTTTCATTTCCGTTATCGAAAAGTTACCTCACACAACGATTTTCTGAAATAATTCGAATTTCTCGTTGTATCATAGTAACTTCTCCACCTATCGGTCATTTAAGAAACTAGAAAATATTTTAAATCAATTTCTTATCGCCGATTCTATGAATTGATTTTATTTCTCGAAGCTGTAAGGTTCATGGTTTTCATAATATCGTACCTCGCCGACCTTAGTGGGACACCCTGTATATAGCCTAGTGCAACTGATGAGGGCTTGGTGAGCTGAAACAGTCTGTCTTCCATCAGATGACAATCGATTCACGAAATTTCCCTAGAATCTGTTTTGAGATTTTAGGTTTATCAAAAAAATAGTCGGTTGATGCTGAAAGCTGCAGATTTCATAAGGGTACTCCTCATAAGGGTGCTCCAGTCAATGATTCCAAACCCTGTAAAAAAAACAAGCTATCCAAAATTACCTTGAATCCTGTGGGACACCAATCCACAAACTGGATGGTCCTCTTGGTCTTGATGGTAGCAATGGCCGCGTTCACGTCCTTCGGCACCACGTCCCCTCTGTACAACATGCAGCAGGCCATGTACTTGCCGTGCCTCGGGTCGCACTTCACCATCTGATTGGCCGGCTCGAAGCAGGCGTTGGTGATCTCGGCCACCGAAAGCTGCTCGTGATACGCCTTTTCAGCGGAAATGACGGGGGCGTAAGTCACCAGCGGGAAGTGGATGCGAGGATACGGCACCAAGTTGGTCTGGAACTCGGTGAGGTCCACGTTGAGGGCACCGTCGAAACGCAGGGAGGCCGTGATGGAAGATACGATTTGTCCTAGAAACAAGGTTGGAGAATGTTCACTTTCTGTTGTGAAAAAGAAAGGGTTGAAGATCCGGCTCGAAGGACCATATTAAATTCCACTCAAGATTCATTTAGGTTAAATTCAACAAATTTCAAAAATGTGAGCGTTGGTGATCTCGGCCACCGAAAGTTGCTTGGACAGTGGATGTTCTGGAACTCGATGAGGTCCACGTTGAGGGCCCCGTCATAACTCAGGAAGGCCGCGATGGAAGACACAATATTTTCTAAACAGAGGGTTGAGGAAATTTCACTTTTTCTCGTGAAAAATAAAGGCAAAGCGCATTTATAACAAGTTGAAGATCCGGCTCGAAGGACCATATGAAATTCCACAAATACCAAGAATTTATAGCGTTGGTGCTCTCGGCCACCAAAAGCTGCTCGCGTTACGCTTTTTCAGTTGAAATAACGGGGGCGTACGTCACCTGAAAATTGGTATGGAGGTGGTGGCGAAACCCAGGGAGGCCGCGATGGATGACAAAATTTGTCTTACAAGGCTGTGAGAATTCTACTTTTAGTAATGAAATGTAATTCCACTTGAAATTTGCAATATAAGATCTACTTTTGAACTCCACAAATTTAGAGAATTTACGGAAATTATCCAATGAAATGGAAGATAAACAGTCAAATCTGGACAGGAATTTCCTTCACTGGTCGCACGGTAGTTGTAACATAAATGGAAGCATACATACAGATTGAAAATTTTAGAACATTTAGGACAAGGATTTTTGTTGATGCAAGATGATATTACGCCTCACGTCGCCGAGTAATGAGAAATCTAGAAGTCGGTATAAATACAATGGCATGGCTAGCTCAAAGCTTGGATTCAAGTCTAAAGAACGTTCTTGGGAGAGTATTAAAAGAGGAACGTAGGAACTTGAATACATTGAAAGGCGTACAGCAGACTAATTCAAATTTGTAAAGACAGACCTGGACTAAAATGACAAAAGGTCTCTTATTATGAGCTGAGGCCGTCTTTACCAAATTATTCTTGACAGTGGCAGAAATACTCTGACACTTGTCCAACTTAATCCTTCATATTCTTTGATTTTTCGTTGTTAAATTCGGACATCAATTTTCCAGAAAATCATGTTATGCAACAAAATGGTGTTCCCAGAGCAAAAGGAAAGTTTATAGAGTTAATCTAAGACAAATGTTGAAAAAGATAAGGTAAAGTGTAATTTCAACTCTGACTGGATAATGTAACTGTTACACTATAAAGAGTATTAGAAAATTTTATGAAAAAAAAGCTAGAATAATTGCTAAATATACTTCGCACACCAATGTTGAGAGGGATATAACATCAAAGGAACATTCAGATCGGATTAGTTTATTGGATACTTTTTGGTGGTGCGATAAATTTTGACAATTTCGATTCTGAAACTGTTTAAATAGAATAAGGACAGGACGAAATTCATACAGTCTATTCCACCAAAACTATACTTCAATTTATTGTACGCAAAATAACGGGGACATGTTTTGCAGCTTCAAAGCTTCATCATCAGCGTTTTTGTTACTAGGAGCACTGTTCTGGAGGAAAAAAGTTATAATATTCACATGTTTGACAAAATTTTCAAGAAACCTATACATGTTAGGAAACTTTGAATTCTATAATTATAAGAATAGGTACGATTCAGATCAAAATTGATAGTCTTATCTGTTCATGCCGAACTCTCAACTCTTTTTTCAAGAGTTAACAGTTCAGCATGAACTGATAAGACTTTTTCAATTTTGATCTGAATCGTACCTAATCTTATAATAATGAAATTCAAAGTTTCTTAACAAAGGGGTTCCGCAATAATTGCGGCCCCCATCCAGCTTCATTTTCATGTATTAGTTTTTTTGAAACATTTTTCAATAACTTTGTCAAATATGTGAACATAACTTATTTCCTCCAGAACAGTGCTCCTACATAACAAAAACGCTGATGATGAAGCTTCAAAGCTCCGAAACATGTGCCCGTAAGTTTGCTTACAATAAACTATAGTTTTGGTGGAGTCAGACTGTATGAATTTCCTCCTGTCATATTGCCTTCACTTCACTGTAAGATAGAATTTCAATCATCCCAAACATACCAATGAGCCTGTTCAAGTTGGTGTAAGTGGGCCTCTCGATATCCAAATTCCTCCTGCAAATGTCATAAATAGCCTCGTTGTCGACCATGAAGGCGCAGTCCGAGTGCTCCAGTGTGGTGTGCGTGGTCAGGATGGAGTTGTAGGGCTCCACGACGGCGGTAGAGACTTGCGGGGCGGGATAGATGGCGAATTCCAGCTTCGATTTCTTGCCGTAGTCGACGGAGAGGCGCTCCATCAGCAGCGAGGTGAAGCCGGAGCCGGTGCCCCCGCCGAACGAGTGGAAGATCAGGAAACCTGGAAGCAACGGTGGATTAGTAGTGACCTCGGATGTTTCCGAATTTGGTTTTGTTATAGAGGGTGTCGCAAAATCACATAGAAATATTTCAAGTCAAGTTTATGCACAATGTGTGGATCTGCCAAATGGAATAAATTCGGTAATGAATAAAGGGAAAAATGCTCTAACATGTTAATTACAGAAGTGCATTATTTTCAAAAATAACTTTATATATAGTGTCATGTAAACTGAGGCCAATACCAACTTTCTCATTTCAAATGGAAAACCCTGTATTTTAATCAATATTTGCTTTGCATTCCTACAATGTTTCCGACAATACCAACTTTCTCATTTCAAATGGAAAACCCTGTATTTTAATCAATATTTGCTTCGCATTCCTACAATGTTTCTGAATTTTGTTCAGAAAAATGCTCTGACACGTCCATTGATATTTACAGAAGGGCATCCTTTTCAACAAAAAATTTTGTACATATAGTATGTCATGTAACTATGGCCAAATGCCAACTTTCTCATTTCACATTACAGGATATCCCTTTTTGTGGGAACCAGAACAAAAAAAAAATGAAACACCTATTTTAATAAATTTTGGATTCTTCAAAAATTCCATACAAATGTACAGGGTTATCCATCGATGATTATTTTTTCCTTATGCCGGCCGAAGTTCAATGCCGGCCTTTCCAAAGCCCTTATCAGAAGTTTTACAGGGTGATCCATAAAAGCGTGACAAACAACAAATTATTATTTTCAAATGGAACACGTTTTTATATTTTTTCGGAATCTGAATTTTTGTGAACACGAAAAAATGTATATAAAGGGTGATATCTTCTATATTCACTTCTTCATCACCAATATTTTGAGACAAGAAAAACAATTTTTCCATAATGCAATAAATAGAATTCATGCCATTTGGCTGGGACACACTGTATAAACAGTCCAGAAATAGCCCCTTTGGGAGTTATAACCACCTGAACTCAAGCATGATATGAAGTCTTTCATCAATATACTTGAAATCCTTCATATGATGAAATAACGAAAATTTGTGCATGTATTTGGTAACTTTTCATGCCCAATTAAATAGTTATTTAGTATACAAGGGAGAAAAAAGTAGTAGATTTTATATATCCCGGGAGAAAAGTAAATTATGAAGAGTGACATTTTATAACCTGTCAATAACAGACGAAATCTCCAATTTTTTTCCTATCACAGAAAAAACATGTTTTGTTTTGTAAAAATGGTAATCTTGTTTAGTTTCAACAGTATTCACCGATTTGAAGATAAATCAATTTGAAAATTCTGTTGCAGAACTCTGAAATCTTGACTGCATGTAAAAAATAAATAGTGCTTTTTCCTTGACACAGTACATACCAATCATTTTTCCAAAAATTATTTTGATCACAACCCTGATATTATTTTGAATCAAAAGATCTGTGCTATTTATATTGAAAGAAGTGGTATAATTCGGACTTTTTCGAGAAAATAGAATCAACTTTAGAAATCCATTGTTGCTAATGGTTATTCATTTCATTTGTTTTATTATAATTATCTTATTTGTCAATGAACAATAGAACCTATTTTCTCCAAGTGTTTTCCCAAGTCTCTTTTTTTCTCAAAAGATGGTCAAATTTGAAAGTATACACATTTCATACAATATCATAAATAATAATATATTGAAATTCTATTTTATTTCAACAAGAAATTATGAGCCTCATGATCACCAAACTAGACAACAAGATTTATTTCATCATGATGCTGCTAACTCTTCAATAAGCCAAAAATAATTAACTCTGCTCTATTTGAAAATTAATTGCCGGATAATATAAAAAATGGCAGAAATACTAACAAATTCAAACATGAACTCAAAAAAACTAATCATTTCTCAACAATAAATGATTGATTTGTTTTTTCCCCCAATCAATACTCAACTTGTAATACCAATGAAGATTTCTGTTCACCAATATAAAATGATTTGTACACATTTGTTGATGACAGCAATCATTAAAATCCGGCACCTTCAAAATGTCCTTACAATCCAGCGTACACAATTCCTGAGAAACTGAAAAAGCTATCCTTGGAAAAGTATCCAATTCTAGTGTTTCTGTTTACAGAGGCCCAACAATGAACCCAGAAAAGACATTGATGAAATGCTTCAGCAGTTTAGCACAAAATGCAATAATGACAATGATGATTGTAAATTCAATAATAATGTCTGGAGAGCCTCTGTCAGCTATCCAATAAAGTTCATTAATCGTTACCTTGTAGCCCAGTACACTGGTCAGCCAGCTTCCTAATCCTGTCCAAAACCAAATCCACGATCTCCTTCCCGATGGTGTAGTGTCCCCTAGCGTAATTGTTAGCAGCATCCTCCTTCCCGGTAATCAACTGCTCCGGGTGGAACAGCTGTCTGTACGTCCCTGTCCTCACTTCATCTACAACAGTGGGCTCCAAATCGACGAACACGGCCCTGGGCACGTGCTTGCCCGCCCCCGTCTCGCTGAAGAAGGTGTTGAAGCTGTCGTCGCCGCCGCCCACGGTCTTGTCGGAGGGCATCTGCCCGTCGGGCTGGATGCCATGTTCGAGGCAGTACAGCTCCCAGCAGGCGTTACCGATCTGGACTCCGGCTTGGCCGACGTGTACGGAGATACATTCACGCTGAAAAGGAGAGGGGAGAATCGGCTAAGTCAAGTTTTTCATTGGGGGTATACAGGGTGTCCGATAAGTCATGGATCAAAAGAATTAGGGTGGTAGGGAGGGTCATTTCCAATCAAACTAACCTTATTCAGTATGGTGGAAATGTATGGAATAAATTCATTATCTCTGACGCATATAAATTTTTAAAAAAATCCTGAGGCAGGTCGATTTTTATTTTCAAATTGACACCTCTTGATATACATACGGAGTTTGTAACGTCATCCGCGTAGGTGTGGTGACGTCATTGATAACTTTTTCAAATAGAAACAATCCCTTTTTCATTTTTTTTCGGAAGGTATATTTATTGTCTATCCTTCGAATTTGACCTGTATACATCAGAAACAATGTATATGGTGATTAATGAGGATAGTATCATTGTATCATTGCAGAAGGTCACCAATTTGAACATATATTGTAATGGTTTCTATTGTAAATATAAAATAATTTTAAAAAATTTCTCACCCTATATTACTTTATTTTGCTAATATCAGTATATGGTTGGATAGACAATGAATATACCAGATTCCATATGAGGGCGAGATATAGGGTAATTCAAAATTTGATAAAAACATGATTAATGAAGGCTCACAAGATAGATAGATAATTTATTTAACCATGTTATGTTATACAGGGTATGTCCCAACTAGCTTACACTATACTATCTCTATGTTATTTTAAATAGAATACCCTGTATTTTATTGCATTTTTATATTCTCCCTAAAGAGCTGATTTCATCAATAATACAACAAACTTGGGGTATAGGTTGTTCAAAAACAAAATTTTAGGATTTGTTTGTGTCGAAACTATTCATTATCGGCCAATACGGCTTACATGCCCCTATCTCAACTTTTGATTTACTCTTTACTGATATTCAATCAGAACAGATATAGAGTGATCAGAATTCTGAATCTTGAACCACCCTGTATCTGTTCCGATTGAATATCAGTAAATAGTTAATCAAATCTTGAAATGACATGTGAGCCGTTTTGACCGATGATGAAGTTTCCACACAAAAAAATCATAAAGTTGAATAATCTCGATTTTGAACACCCTATATCACTCTAATCATTTTCGATAGTCCCCTAGTATGATACATGGATGAAATCAGCTCTTCAGTAAAAATCTAAAAATGCGATAAAATACAGGCTGTTCTATTTGAAATAATCATGTTGCTACTAATTTCTAGTGGAAGCGGCAACACTGCATTGTCGAAAATATGTTAAATGAAGAGAGCGTATTCTAAAAAACATGCACATTTTCATCAATTTATCCCGACATATTCTCGATATAAAGAGTGTAAGCTCGTCGTGACATACCCTGTATACATGTTTGGCAGGTCATTTTTGCAAATACCAATAACATCAACTCTAATGTGAATAGGTGCTATATAGATAAAAACAAAAGATAAAAAAGATTTAAAAACCAGGAAAACGTGAAGTAAAAGAATAAATCACAAAAAAAGATGAGAATTACAGATCTCAAGTGTGATGCATTAATGAAATCAGCTCTTCAGGAAAAATTTAAAAATGCAATGAAATACAAGGTGTTCCATTTGAAATAACAAAGTTGTTGCTTCTTTTCGTTAGAAGCGGCAACGCCGCAGGCCTGGAAATATTTTAGAATGGTGTCCTTCTCGAAAACGTAGTCCACATGTTTCAGAGTTTTTTCATAATCCGGTTTTGGCGACCTACAGAACCTCTGTTTCGTTTTCAAAGTCCCACCCTGTATGTATATAAGAGTATATCGAACTATTTGATTTCTTGAGGAGGCTCAGCCTCCGTTGCCTCCTGAGGAGCCGCCACTGCTTTGTTTACATAATGTCATAAACAGAAACAACTATGGGAAAAAATCAACTTTAGCAAGTTCAGCAATGCAATACAAATGAACAGACATTATGATTGTAGAGTTTAGCAACTACTAAATTCCAATATTCGTTTTATAAAAAATATATTTTTGCTGGACTCATGGGTTAATTTTTTATCAGGGAAAATAAATACCACACTAACCTGGCAAGTTCTATGAAAACATTGCTCATCTGGTGTGGTAAAAAATCATTGAATATCTTGAATTTTTTTTGCAAGACCCACAAATACTTCTATGATTCTCTTCAATTAATTACAAAAAAGTTGAAAATATCATCCAAAATATTCTAGTTGAATGAAAATGTATTTTTACATTTTGTTGTTCATTATTTCTCCATAATTCCACTTCATTTATCGCCCCAATTTTGGAAACATCCTGTATACGTATAGGTAGAATCGTCAAGTTGGAAAAATCATCTATTTTATTTCCCAACATCGAAAAAAATCTATCCAAAGATTAAATCCCAATGCAATTCTGTCTGGCTATATCAAATTTAAAAATATTTCAAAGAAAAAACAATCATAACAACATGCATCCCAAAATGGTTAAATTCAGTGATTAATTCAACATTCAGTAGAATTACTTTTGTAGGTATGGAGACTGGAAAGTAAAACACCCAAATGTTCTTTATTTTCAACTGTCAAAAATAAAAATTGGTGATCTCTAATAGAACGCTTCATTTTTATCGCTAGGAGCGCACGAAAGGAAATTTCTATAATGTTCAAAGAACATCGTGCGTTCCTAGAGAGGATAGGGACAGGAGGTAGGTATTTTTTTACTTCTGCAGAATTCAATCTGACAAGTTGAAATGTCCAACACCCTGTTCCAGATATGTTCATGTAAAGGTGTTCTTCAGAATATAAGGAATATTTGTAGATGCACCCTAAGGTTTCAGGACGTACAAGGAAATACTCAGTATTGTCATCTTCTCAATAAACTATAATTTTCATTGCCTATTTTTCAGTACCTTCTGTAGGTGCTGTAGGCTTGGATCTACTGAATACTGAATAACAACATCATCAATGTCCATCCATGAATACTTTCAATTTTGACCTAGTTAAAGCAACTTGAAAAGTTCCAGATTTTCCCATTATGGTATTACAATCCAAACTAGTTACAGTTAACCGGTTGTATAGGTAGTGTACCAATCTTCTTACAAAGTGATCATTAAAATGCCCATTGAGTTTACTTATTCTTACTCAGAAACAATGGAAATTAAATTGGCTACACTTGGGATATTTGGTACTCTTCAACAAACTGATCTGACCAATCCAGAACATATTACCAACTCATCACACATTTGCTCCATATTTGTAATGCAGTGAGATATCCTAATGATGATTATAATATCTAATGAATCCACTCATCAATCAAAACCTCACATATTTTGGCATCAGCCCGTATCAGCCCCGGGGGGGGCATGAATTGATCAGAAAATTGAAGAAGTCTGAATACCTTGACATAAATAATATCAACATTTTGAAAATGCAGTTAAGCCTCACAAATTGAGAAGTAGCCGATGAATCATGAAATATCATAAATGCTGAAAATACTACCTAGGTACTTGAAAAAATATGATAGCCGCGCCCTAGATACCGGAAGTTAACGGGCTAAAATATTTATTTTATATTCTATAGTTTCCGATAGGTACCCATATATTTCCGCCCGTACAAATTCCCTTATGACTGATATTTAAATTATTGTGGAGAAATGGGGAATATGTGTGAAGCCGGTGACTAAAACTAAAATGGCTGCCAATTTTACCGGTGGTAGTGAATACACGTCGACAAGCCATGTTTTTCTTCCCAATAACTCAGATACATTTAATCAAAATAATAAAACAAGAATATTTTATAGGAATCGTACTCACCATTTTGTTTGTAGATTTTTTACAAATTCACCACAAAAGAGAAAAGTTTAACGTTAACAAACGTTCAGAATAGCTAGTAATGGAGCCTTCCAAACGAACTTGTCGATTGACGAATTTCTGCCGGCAGTTGCTATTTATAACAAAATTGACGTCACCAAACCAACGCCTAAAACTTGCGATCTGATTGGCCCGATCCGGTCATGTGGGTAACGGAAAAGCGGGACGGTTGCGTGCCCACGAGAAATTTCAACTGTTTCTTCTTCTTCTTTCCCTCTGCGCTATTATATGGATACTTAACTTGAATAATATTGATTTGGTGACTTCGGTAAATCGAATTATTCACTTATAGCGGTAGGTATTACTTAGGCAATTTCTTTTCACACAAATATATATTAAAAATCTCACTCTACCCCTTGGTCTCTAAAATGATGGAAATAAGTGTCTCTAATTTAAGAGTTCTGACTGAAGGCGCCACAGTATTATAAGAGGAATGTCTGCATGTTTCGCTTTTATATTTAGTTTGGTTATATTTAGACACCACTTGCATAGATATCAGAACATTGAACTTCTTTTAATCTTCAAAACATATCCCTGAAAGGTCTGTAAAAAATCTCAGCACATATATTCCTCAGGATGAAATGAACCAATTCAAAGCAAACTTATAGGTAGGTACCTCCTCCGAACAACTCAGTCAGTTCGAACTTGCTCCATTTCCGATATACAGGGTGGTAAAGTTTAAAAATAAAAATCGATTTCTTTAAAATGTATGAACATTTATTAACATATCACTTCAAAAATTGGTAGGAGCTTTTTGGGATGCGGATCCCGAATACGGAAACCTTTCCACTGTGGTCAATAGAGGGCACCAATAATGCACTTATGGTTCAGAATGACCATAACTTTTTTTTCAGTGTATTTTCTCACTTTTTTGCCGAGGAAATGATTTTCTGGATAATTTCAAGAAAAAAAGGTAGGTACATATACATTTGCGAAATTTCGCTGAAGTAATAACGGTTTTCGAGATATTCAAGTTTTTAGTGTTCGATTCGTGGATGTAATTTGGTCAGTATGAATGAGCAGTGCAAAAATGGATTATTCAATATACATACAGTGTGACCCACTTCTAATGGAAACACCCCTGTATATTACGTAATCGTTGGGTAAGGATCCTAAAATTTGCTGGAGCGAGAGATATACCAAAAATGCACTCTACGACCAAGTGGGGTCATCTTCATGCAGTGATATACACTGCTCGCCAACAGCCGTTTTGGAACCACCCCAATTTCCGAAAAATGATATTAGGTGTCAAAATAGGTCGAAAATCACTTATTCAGATTCGGAATCAGGACGCCCGATCACTATAACTATTCATATTTTTCCTGGAAAATTTTCAGCTCTGAAAAATTAAATTTTGTCGCACATTTTACGGAAGCGTATCCCCGTATTTTACGAAATTGACTTTATCTCTGGACTTACGTGAGATACGGGGGGTCGTGCTTCCATGAGAAGTTACACAAAATTCAATTTTTCTGAACTGAAAATATTCTAGGGAAACTATATATAGTCAGTATAAATTGGGCATGTTGATTCCGAATCCGAAGTGATTTTCAACCTATATAATTTGACTCCTTATATCATTTTCCCTAAATTGGGGTGGTTTCATGGGGCTGTTGGCGAGCAGTGTATATCACTGAAGATGACCCCACTCGATCATATAGAATGCATTTTTGGTATGCCTCTCGCTCTAGCAAATGTCAGGATCTTTACCCAACGATTACGTACAGGGGTGTTTTCATTAGAAGTGGGTCACACTGTATATTTTTGGAGTGAACTAAATTGACCACTCTATATCTTAGAAACGACCGAGCAATTTCGGACTGAGGCAAGTGGCTTTTAAATCGACTTATTTTGATCTCAGGACTAGGACTACTTACGTGCTAAGATTTAGTACTTTTTAGGGACACCCTGTACAGGAACCACTTCAAAATGTACAAAATGCGTATATATATATTCCTACCTACCTATCTCTACTATTTATTGATCGAATATTTTGTTGTAAGGATCGGTTACAGCACGAATAACACGATGAGTCATCCTACATATAAGGCTTGTATATGTGAATCATTTCCATAAATGGAAGAGTGTGGTGAGGTCACATACGAATATTATGATTATTATCATTATCGTCCTACATATAAAATGAAATTCATGTAGGTTTTACACCTTATACCTATACCCTCATATAAATATGTGTTGATGCCCATGACTTTCAATATAATTTCAATGTGGGTGAACGGCTCTTTGATAATATAAATACATGGCATATACCTATAAATAGGTCTACTCTGGTGTGCACCTATAAAAAAACTCATATTATGTAGGTAATATATAGAATTTTCATTTTTGATTGTTATAGGTAGGTATTCAATCATGGTGAATTAAAAAGTTCGTGAAGTGAAAGTATATTATACTATATCTGATTAAATTTTTCTGAAACCGCATCAACTGTATTGAAGGATTTAAATTATATTTGAAAAGAATCGCTTAGGAATACCAGAGAGTTTAGAATTAGCTGACCCTTATTTCAATGAATCGAGGGAAATTGATATGTTGATAGGTGCGAATATATTGCTTTGGCTGGGACATAGATTAACCGTTAATCTATGGCTGGGAGATGTTTCACCCTCTATTTTGGTACCTCTGTATAGGTATATATACCTACCTACCTACCTACCTACCTATACCTATATATCTTTCCGAGAAAATTTACTGCAAAAACTTCAAAAGGCTATGAACTCTACTGGAATAATAATTAAAGATTGTTGTCATCATCGAATTTTAATCCTTTATCCTAATTAATATATACCTCCAATTGGGGGCATTGCAGACCCTTATTATTAATATACTTCCAAAGAGACACTTCGATTTTGAAATATAATGGAAAGGAAAAATGTGATTGATATTCCAAAGAGAATTCCTATATAAATACAAAGATGAGAATATTGCAATTCTTAAAATATACATTATATTGGGCATGTATTATAATTAATGAACTGAAGAAGACATTTATTGATTTGCATACTGTATTAGTCAATAAAAATGAAAATTGAAGATTCCTGCACATCGCACATCTATCAAATAACTATTCCATATCAAACATAATAATCAAAATAACAATAGAAGATAAAAGATAAAATTTATCAATATATGTTATTTAGAACAGTCATAATAATACATTTTAGCGTTTTTATGAGCCTTTACCATAGATTATATCCTTGAATACTGATTATATACCGGGTGACACAGCAGGTTATCGGGCCACCCCTGTAACTTCTGCATTCGTCAAACGGATTTTTCTGAAATTCGGTAAAGTTATATAAGCAACTATTTCGGATTTGATCACATTACAATCCAATATGGCGGACTTCCGGTTTTTCTGGAAATGCCAGCAATTTTGTTTTTTCATATGGAACACCCTGTATATTTTTACATATTCAAGTTCAACAGGTCAAAACAAGTGCAATCTTGATGTCAAATGTCATTTATTCCACAGCCTAATTATTCTAACTGCGAGGAAATTCATAAACTATAGTTTTTGAATGTATACAATTTGTCACTGCACCGAAAAACAAAAATGATATTTTATTTTGTTCCTTAATGTATGTTCTAGAGAAACGGGTAGGTGGCCCATAGGGGTTCCATTTGAAAAAAAATAATTTTTGATCAAAAAGTGATGTGGCTGAATTGATTCCTGGATAAGTGACACAACAAATAATTTTTCAGAAAAAATTATGTTCTTCTGTTATGTGTGACTCATTGTGAATAGTCTTGACCACATCTCATTTATCCACGAGGTAAAATGAAAAAACAATTTTAATTTAATTTTTTTCGAAAAAAATGACATTTGAAATAAAGATTGCACTTGTTTCGACCTGTTGAACTTGAATATGTAAAAATATACAGGGTGTTTCATTTAAAAGAACAAAGTTGCTGGCATTTCCATCAATACCGGAAGTCCGCAATATTGGATTGTAATGTGATCAAATCCGAAATAATTGCTTATATAACTGTACCGAATTTCAGAAAAATCCGATGACGAAAGCAGAAGTTACAGAGGTGGCCCGATACCCTGTGTCACCCGGTATAGGTTTACAAAACAACAATTTGTAATTCCAAGTCTGATAAAAAGGCCGTCCCAAAACCATTTATTTTTCATCAACATTCTTCAGTATTTTCCAAAAGTTCTTTCACATTTGTAGCAAAACTTCGATGGACCAGGGTGCAACCAATTTTTGAGAGACTAAAAAAGCTAACCTTGAAGTTTTCCAAAAATCCAATTTCCAAATTATCCAAATCCAGTGTTTACAGAGAGATCCAACAGTGAACCCAAGACATAAGTTTCCGAAAAACACACTATTGGAATGCCTAATCAATTCAGAAGACTAAATTCCTTCAAAATTCTTGCCTCACAAATCACAATAGACTTTTCTTCTTTTTTTTATTGTACCAGCAAATTTAATAATTCCATTTATCTTGTACATACAATAATGATGAATTTAAACTCAATGTATAATCACTGTGTAACACAGGCTGAAGGACCTCGGTCGGTTGGCTTTTGAGTATCCAATGAAGCTCCCTAATTATTATTATTATTGTAAATATTGCAAAAAAATCACCTAATCATCAAATTATCTATTGATAATCACCTAATCATCAAATTATTTTGGCTCAATATCACATCAACATTCTCACTAACGCTAGTACCCCCATCCCCCCCACCCTCCACAGGCACCCTCAAAACAAAACTCTTAGGCAAACAGCTTTCCTCAGTGCAAGTCACCAAATCAAACACAAAATCCACAGGGCATAGTGCGTTCCCGGGAACGCTGACCACCACATCGATATCGGCCAAATCGGTACCATTTTTGGGTACTGCTGACCACGTGGTATCCGTCAGATCGACGTACCAAGATTGCGGAGCCCCCTCGGTCAACCCCAAACCATTTTCCAGCACTAGGTTGATTTTCAGCAGGATTTTACCGCCCTTGGAGCTGATTTTCACAGGAGCGCTAGTGACGATTTGATGCTTGGATTTCCCCGGCTTTTCCTTGTCCGTGTGGGTTAAAACCAGTTTTTCCACGCTGGTAACCTGTTTCTTCGCGTCCAGGTGCAACACTTTGATTTCATGATTATTGGTATCAGCCAAATACAATTTTTTGTCGTTTCTGCTGAGGCATAATCCTGCTGGTTCCCGGAACCTGCGAGCGGTGCCATCTGTGGTGTCTATCGAGGGTACGGTCAAAGAGATTACTTTGTTTTCCTCCACGGAAATGAGTTTTAGTTTGTGGTTGTAGGTGTCGGCTACGAAAAGGGTTTTTTCGTCTGAGGTGGCTGCTAGACCAAGCACGTGTTGGAGTTTGGCGTCATAAAGGGTGCCGTCTTTGTCACCAAAAGCGAAAAGGTTCTGAAAATGAGTAAGTCAGAATAGGTAAATTGTAATTTGGAATCAGAATATTCAATCAATCAATCAACTTTATTATTCCCAAAGAACAACATTTGTTTATAGCAGGGAACATGGTGAATATATGAATATATTTGACAAAATAAAGCAGAGAGTAAAATAAGACTCACAGTCAAGAAGAAATCTTTATTTTTTAAGTTCAACTGGAAATGATTCTTAATTGACTCAGCTGTTAGGTACCCAATGGAAAACTATAGTAATTGTACGAGAAAATTCTAAAAATGAGGTAAGGTGTCAATATCACAGGAGTAGATGTTTCTTGAATTCCTTTTTGAATTTTTCAATCCTATCAATCAGCTTCAAGTTATTTGGTAGTGAATTATTTATCATTTATTTATTGTAAGTAAAATCTACATTTCGTCATGGAATATCAATTACATGTATATATATTTCATATTGTATCTCCTTCACATAGGTTAGTGACCTGTGTGTGAAACTGAAAACATGTAATCAATAGTGAGAATGAATTGAGACAGAAGAATAGAGTTGATTTTCTATAAGCCAACTTTCAACTTCTTTTGTGTATCATTCCATTCTGATATAAGTAATATTTTACTCAACCATCAACTAGATCTCAATAGTTCACCATTGTTGAATTTGTTTTCCTAGCAGGTTAAGTTAATCCGGGACACTGTATTTTAATGTAGATATTGTGCCAATTTTCTGACAATGAAGGTTATCAAACCCTTCAGCAGGTCATTCTAATCCTTCAGGTTGGGAAAGTAGGATATATAAAAGTTTAGGCAAGCCAAGCTGAGTTTATTTCAGTGTACCAGTATTCACCTGAGGTGGTTGTGAAGGAATTATAAAGATGGCAATGAATAGATTTCGACTTTCTATACATCTATGTATAGATCATATTTATGTGTTTGCTTTCTCATTTGTCAGGAAATTTCCACTCATTTGTCACTTCATCTTGAAAAAATTTCCGGAAATTTTCCTGGTTGCCAGTCAAAACAAAGGCAGAATTGGTTTTAAAGTAGAAACAGAAAGTGTGAAATTTTCACCAAAGCTAGATGTTTTTTTTTTTTCAGAAAACATTGATTATCAGTCATAGTTCAAATAATGTAACAGAACAGTGGATTCATGATCTACAAATCAATATACCTATTTATAGAGAATACCGAGATTTTCGAAGAATTTTCAAAGACCGTCAAATTTAGTTAAATTTAACGCCGGTTTCGAGAGGAATCCGAGATATATAGAGTTTGATGACATTTTGGTGGTGATAACAAAACCCAATTTTCAGTAGGAGGAATTCAATTTCCAATTATTCTTATCATTGAAACTTACATTAGGATTTCTGTCTCCTCCAACGACAGGCGTGACTTTTCCATCTATCAAGGAAAGTCTTCTGACACTGGAACTCTCACTATCGGCAATATAAACCTCCTTTTTGTTTGTACACAAAGCCAGACCTGAAGGCTGTGCAAAAGCAGCAGCATGTGGATAATTGTTGTTTCTAAAAAAGCAGAAGTTTGGAAACTTTGCATATTAAATAACTATATTATTTTTATATTGTGAAGAGTGTTTCCTGAACAAATGTCAAGTATTCAACGGGGCATTCCTTGGGTCCAATCGAGAAAAATTTGTTTATTTTTTATACAGAAGATAATCATAGTCCTAAATTATATATTTCTGAAGAAGCAACTAAAACTTCCACTTTTATGTGCCTTAATCCAGTTTTTCCCTACTCAGTTTCATTCTCTCTCTATTTTGTTATAGGTTGTAGAACTAGATTTTGTTTCTCACCACTTGTATGTGGGAAATAAATAAGAGATTCCACACATACATGTTCAATGAAACTTTTTTACTATGATCCAAAGATCTTTTGACATATGTTTAGGAAACACCCTGTATCAGTGGCGGCTCCTCAGAGGAGGCAACGGAGGCCAAGCCTCCTCAGAGATTCTCCTCAAACTGATATTATCTATACATTCTCATTAGAGGGACACCAGAATACATGGATTTTGATTTTATTTCCTGTTTTTAGGTGAATATTTTTGAATTGGCAATAGTTCTTGCCCACGCATCACACGTTGAAGTCTGCAAATCACGCGTGAAATATTCAACTGGGCAACATCTATAGGAGGCTAGACTCCTTCACAACTGCGCAACCCATGCGCGCAATGCAAATGCCCGAATACGCCCGAATAGCACGTGTTTGTCGTGTCGCGTCGCGAATTGCGGACAGTCCAGCGCGAGTGCATTGTTTATGTTTATGTTAGGTTATTGGTTAGGGGCTCTATAAATTTCTGATTGTAACAGGTAACAAACAAAAACGTTCGTTCAATTCTGATGATTATAAACAATATATCTGGTTGACGGGATCTGAGGTAAGGAATAAGCTATTTTGTTGGTACTGTGTATTATTTTCAACCGATAAGTCATCATGTTGGGGGCGATTAGGATATAATGATTTGAAAAATTTGTCTCGCGGAATTGATAGACACTGCAAATCACAGGAACACATCTCTTCAAGTATTAAGTTCAGGCTAACTGGTAAACATAATGTCATTAAAGCTATTGATTTGGGTGAGTGGTAGAGAGTTGTTTTTGACAATAAATCTCATATCATTCAGCCTCCTCTGTCATGAAAGTCACGAGCTGCCACTGCCCTGTATAAATTCTTCCGGTAAAGGATCCGTATAAATCACTACAACTCATTATTTTCTCAAATTCAATCACAATATATTCACCAGGTTTACAGAGTATTTAACTAACTAACTAACTGTGAGTTTTATTTTTATGGTTGAGAGGAACTTGAAGCAGATTATTAGATATACTTCTGGGCATGTTGTATGGATGACAAACTGGTTGTCTTAACTCCGGACTAAGGTTTTTGAACGCAAATACTCAAATATTTAAGAAGTAAAGAGATGGAATGTTTTGGATGTTTGTTCCCATTTTCCTCTCTTCCTGATCCAACTATGTTGATACCACAATCGCGATATAAGCACCTCAGGGGTCGGCGATTTACCAAGTTTTTAATTGAATCAGACATCAAATAGGTCTGAATCTGTGTCTTATGAAATTTTTTATGATTCAAGGACAATATTTTTTTCTTCCTCTTGAATGAAATTGGAAATAAATTAGAAAATCTGAATATACGTGCATTAAAAGTAGAAACTCTTCTTCTTACTTTGATCCAATGAATATCTCACTTTTGACGCCGCAAAATGTCTATGAAACACCCTTTATATATTTTTTTTCATAAAATATTGGTGAAATTCGTTATAATAGAGCAGTTCAGCTACCGTTGAGAGAGAAAAAAAATGTCTTCCGCATCTGTCCTTGTCTTCAGTGTTCCAACATAAAATAATGAAAATATTATGTTGGCATCATTGGAAATGGGAAAAAATGGGGAAGAATATCATATTAACCTCGATATAAAAGAAGGTTAGAACGGTCTTCTTCTCCATTTCTTCTCATTTCCAGTGTTGGCAACATAAGATTTTCATTATTTCATGTTGGAACACTGAAGACAAGGACAGATGGGAAGACATTTTTTTTCTATCTCAACGGTAGCTGAACTGCTCTATTCATATTTGTACCTATTTTCCTCTCTTCCTGATCCAGCTATGTTGATACAAGTGCCGGCTGGATGTTTTCTACATTTCCACCACACAGTATCTTGCAGGAACAGTGCCCATATTTGATGGGTACCCGCCATTGCGATGATCAGCACTTCACGGGTCGGCGGTTTACCATCCACGTGGAAGGTGAGGTCCATGTCTGACGTTTTGTAAACACAAACGTCCCACGGAGAGGAAATCGCCTGTTGGGTCCACAGTTTGCCCCCTTTGTCGTCATGTCCTTGAAACCCGGTCCCTGGAATATACAGGGTGTCAGTGAAAGCTTATACAGGGTGTTCCTTGATGACATGCTAATATTCAAGGGGGAGATTGTTGGACCCGTTTCAAAAATAAAACTTCATATGAAGGTATGTCGCATTTTTTGTCCACCCTGTATAGATTTTTCTGATGGGAAAATGTATTCTGCTATGTGACTGATTTCAAAATATTACATACTGTGGTTATCCAGTAATAGCTGTCCTGAATGGGGTACTCAAGCTTAGCATTTACATTAAAATTTGAAACTTGATCTCGTTTTTTCGTTTTTTCTCGAAAACGGAGCGTCCTGTCGGGTGACAAAAAAGTGGGGGAGAATTGCTTCAAGCCCCACCTATTTTCCATGCCCCTGATCAAAATTTTGGAAAATTCTTGATAATTTCAAATTGGGGACAAAAATATAGGTAATTGAAAATATTTACAATAAACCATCATCTGAGGCTCACCTTCAGATGGCTATATCACCCACAGGGTCCATTTCTGTAATCATATTTATTTGAACTTTTTTAAATATGTTTGTTCCTAGAATCTGTGGTTGAAATATATCTATGTAATTTCGGGACACCCTGTATATTGCAAAAAATGCGCTTATTGTGAAACTAATCTAATAAATAGCTATTCTTGATGCAAAACCTGCTGGAATAAAATAAAATTGAGAAAGAAAATGACAATGGACCAAAAACTACTGACATTGGAAATTTTGAAAAAGAAAAAGACAATGAAACTGAAAATTCTCTATATTTGGAAATATTTTCTCAATGGAAATTGTAACTATTGTAAGGCATATCCCAGAGCTGCCAGAATTATTCACAAAACTATGGAGATTATTGAAAAATAAACATTCTCAAGATACCCACCATTTTCTGTAATTTTTTATAGATCTTGAATAAATTTATCAGAAGATTGATCTTTATGTTTTTTTTTATTGACCCTATTTTTTTGTAGAAAATGCCATCACATGGAAATGTACACTGAATAATATTCTTTACTGATGAGTTTGTTTGGACTCAAATACAAAAGTTATAAATCTAATTATTTAATAAGGTCATTGGTAATTTGTGGTCATTCAATGATCTTCTTCAAGAGTTGAGACCTGATAACATTTTGGGATCAATTTTATTAAGAGTTGATTTTTTTCTCTTTTTATTTGAGATTGATTTTGAAAACTGATATTTTGTCCAAAGATTGCCATTCCCACTCCATAATACTGCTCTATATTACAAACATTTGAAGTTAGATGAGAACATCTGAGATTTGATTATTTCAAACTTGATGTTCTCTAGCTCTAGAAATAAATCAGCTGAAATAGCTCAATAAAATAATATATTACTGTATTGTATGATCTGTATGGTGGAAAAATTCAATTTTCATACAATTATAAGGTCACATCAGATATAGGGGGGCAGATATTATGACATCAGGATTTAATTTTTTTGCAATAAAATACATTTTGGGAATCCTGTTTGGGAACAAATCTGAGGAACCTCAAGTATATACTATAATTTCTACAATCTACAGAATTTGATTCTCCCAAAACCAGAAAAAGTGTTGACACACAACCTATTATGCAATCAAGCAATGAAATTGTTTCCATTTGTGTAAAAGTTATATTCACTCTATATATGGAATAGTTTAGATGGCTCATTATGATGTTTCATTGATGACAAATACACTTTTTAGTACACAGCAAATTTCAATATTTTTTGAAGAAAACTAATGAGAAATATATGTTCACTTGTCAATAACAATACCAATAATAACTGACCTGCTACAGTTTCAACCACTTTTTTCTTCAAATTGACCTTCCTAATGGCATGATTCTCAGTATCAGCAACAAACAGAACATCCTTGTCCAAGAAGGCTAGCCCTTGTGGATTATTGAATTCAGCATCTTCCAAACTCCCATCCTTGAATCCCATCTTCTTGCCACCAATTTGTTGCAGAATTGTCCCATCATCTTTCATTATCAATATTCTATTATTGCCAGTATCTGCTACTGCTAGCAGTTCATGGTTGTTCTCATCCACAAAGTTTGTTATCTTTCCTGGGAACAAGAGGGGTCCCTTAAGGTCTGGAAGCAAATGAAAAGCTGATTTGAATGGAAGTTTATGGTCAGAGATCATGTTTTGGTCTTTGTAATACTTCAAGGCATTTCTGATAACAAGTTTCAGATCTTGTTTATGGCCCTCTCCAGTGAACATCACTATAGGATTTGCTGAAGGGCCTAACAGCAGCAGAGTTGGCCAGCAATGGACATCACAGTTTTTCCACATTGCAGAATCTGCATCATTCACTACAGGATGGCCAATGTTGTAGCGTTGGACTGCTGCTAAGATATTTGAAGATATTTTTTCATTTTCAAATTTGGCACTGTGAACACCAATCTGGAAAACATGAGACTCAATTGGAGTTGGCACTCAGAAGCTGGTAACTCACCACAACCAAGCCATCTTCAACAGAGAACTCATTTTCAATTTCTCTGAGGTCAGGGATAATGTGCATACAATTAATACAGCAGTATGTGAAAAAATCTAGTAGAACTATCTTCCCTTTCAGGTGTTGTCCAAAAGACAGGGGTTTAGTGACGTTGAACCATTCTAAGCCTAAAGTAGAAAGTTGCTGGATTATTCAACCATTTCAAAACATTATCAGGATTTACACTTACCTGGAGCGAAATCTTGGACTGGGGCATACTTGACGTTCTGCAAATATTCTAAAACGCCTAAATCCTTATTTTTATTCGCTTGAATCAAGTTTTTCAGCTTTTCTTGGGAATAATAAAGGTAATCGTCAGCTGATTCCATGTTGTACGTGATTGCTGTCCTACCAACTAGTCTTCGAAATATCTTGTTGATTTGATTCATAAAACTGTTCAAAAAGAGGGTGGTTTTAAGGTTTTTTAGGCGAGGTTCTAATCGAAATATTCGAAAGGTAGAGAAAATGAAAATTTCGGAAAATCCAAAATAAAAATATAATCTAACCTAGTCCTGTCACTCCTGTCAGTAGTAAAACAAAAATCAACCTTAAGCTCGGGTTCGGGTGGTTTCGGTTTGTTGCTGGTTGATTTTAGCTTGGCGATGCTGGCGATGAAACGTGGCGATGTTTTTATTGGCCGATTCGATTTCGTTAGCATCACTAACCAATAATAACATACGTTTCATCGCTTTCATCACCACCAATGTCAAAATCACCCAGCATTAAAACCCAGCTTAATGCGCCAGCCGACAACTTGGCCGACAACTACCACAGATGTCACTACTTAACTGAGCAGTGAGCTGTCGAAATTTTTATTGGCATTTTATCGATGCTTTAATGTCAAAGTCAATGTCAATAAAAATAAAAAGATTAAATTCGTAAATAGTGAAAAAGATAAATCTTTTATCTTTTAGTTTAATCTTTACTGTACTCCGGTCATGTCTGGATGCCTTGTTTGTTGGCATCGAATTGTTACGTAGTGGAAACCCCATGAAGTGGAAACATTGAACATGATATCATAAAGTTGGAGTTTTGTTCCTGTACTGTTTATTGTACTGTCTGTAGCATCTTCAACGTTTGGAGAAAAGTGGAGAATTGCAATTGAAAATGACATTCCTCACAGTTATTTCAATAGTTGGATCAATCCTCGTAACACCTTTTTTGATGCTTCTAGTATGTATCATATTTTTGGCTTCTATTGGAAAGTCCCTTGGTGTAAGAAGATTGTATGTGAAGGTTTTGCTGATGATTTTTGAGGTAAGATTCTATGGGATTCAGTGGCATTCCATGGTATTCAATGGTATATTTCATGAGTTTCCATGGTATATCATGGTATTCCATGGTATTTCAACAGATTTTTTTGGGATTCCTAGAATTCCCATTAAAAATGGATTTCTGGCTTGATTTCTGGTGTACTTTGTGTAATTTTTCAAAGGTGGTTTACCCCAGTTATTTATAGACAGAGCATCAATCAAGTAAAAGTACACTTGAAAACAATCAAAACTAAGAAGTTTTTAAATTACCATATTTTCAACAAAATACATTTTGAAAGTCATATAAAAATCATGAAAGTCATTGGTAGGTATCTATTTTTGAATCACCAAATCTGTTGTTGATAGCTTGAACCTTGAATAAATAATATACATGTTTAGCAAGGGGTATAGGTATGTAATGGTATGTATGAGGATATTAGGGTATGTACCTCTATAAAATCTTTCAAATTTTTCAAAATTCTTGGTCACACAGGCTTCTCATAATATGAAGTGGATTTAGTGAGGGTGCCCATGCTCAATTGTTGATGATTTGATTTAATGATCAAAAGTAGCGACGATGACAAATGGATTGAAAATATGTAGTTTAAAATAAAACTTACCTCATGAACACTTCCAAACATTGTGAGAGATTGGGTTTCCTAAAAAAATCGGGTAAATGGAATTGGTGGAGTCGCCTTTGAATTGAATTATCATGGTGACAACATCAATATAATGTTATCAAAAATTATCATTAGTATTAGTCACACTGGCGCAGGGTTGGCAGGAATTAATTCAAATGAATTAAATTAGTGATGTGATTTGTGAATTAATTCAAATGACTCTTATTGAATTAATTCAAACTTTCCCCACTGGGAACAAATTGCATTTTTACCTTCAATTCAAACCATCATAAACACCTGAGCGCCCACAGGCAGAAAATTAACTTTATGCCCGCTTTATGGTTTTTAATTTTTCATTGCATTCAAATTGATTGCTGCAGATCATATTTTCGGCAATGCTAATATGCAGGCTATTTAACACTGAATCCAAATGACTGGCTTGCAATGCCTTTTTGTCAAATAAATCTGATATCTATCCAAAGTCACCGCGAGGTGTCGGCGGGTTTCACGGTCTTCCGAGAGTTCTTCTTTTGAAGTGTGTGCACGTGCGGCTCTAGGCGGCCTAATTGTCTTATACAAATTATGCATGAAATATAGAAAATCCATCAATTTATCACTTTGTCAATTACAGGAGAGCTTTTGATTGTCAAAGTTTAAATTACTGTCCAAAATGACAAATATGAAAATTGCTGCAATTTCTTTAAAAAATGCGAACTTCAAAGTAGCTCTTCAATTGTTTCAAATCAATAGTTTCAGTTTGTTTAGCAAAAATTGTCTTTTGTATTTTTTGAGAAAATCAATAAAGTCAGTTTTCTGTTACATTTTTGACTGTTGTTTATGTGGATAAAATTTAATTTTTTCGAAGTGAATTTATTAAAAAAAGTCCGAATTAATTAAAATCGTGGGACTTTTGTGGTTTCTTGGGAGAGATGGGGGTTATAAGAAGATGACATCAAGTGGTGCTTTGAAGCAACTCCAGCCTCAAGTTTTTATTGGTCAAACTGCAATGCATCAAAATTGAAGAGGAAGGAAAAATAAAATTAACAGGAATGTACTGAACAGGGCACAGGGTAATCATTTAGTGTACTGTTAACCCTTATTCACCCACTGAGCATTATATCATAAACAAACAGGAATAATTTTTTCAAATTTTTTTTATGAAATTTGAAAATAGATTGCTCATGAAAAAGTGTGGGCTATAAGTACTCCAAGCCAACCCTGTTTAATGCGCAGTCCTGAAAGAAAAATAATTTCGTTTACATTTTTGTACTTAGCACAAAAAGTAAACTGTAAATATTCCCATTGTTCTATTCAAATTTAAAAAAAAAAAATGGAAAAAGGCGTATTTGAGCTGAATTAGACTAGATTGTTAGGAATTATCTTTTTATGTTTCAATTGTTGTAGTGAAACTAGTGAAATATCTATTTTTACATTTGAGTGGACTGTTTTTTTACCCATAATTAACATTCAATAAAATCTTGGTGTTTTAATTGATTCATATTAGCATATATTACTAATTTTTATAGAAATTGCAACATACAGTGAATGCTAAATGTATTCCAAATAAACAACATTGAAAAATATTTCATTGTTTTTGCAATTTACTCGGCAATTTGCCTGGCAATTTGCTATTTCCACAATTGCTACTATATTCAAATGAGAAAAACAAACTCGTCAGAGTGAAGACATTATGAACTACTCATGCTAAGATAATCTAATGATTCTAATGTATTTCTAATTGAATAATACATACAATTTTCCACGATTTTGATGTACTTATATAAAAATGATGATGTCTAGATAATGACAATGGCCCAGGCAATGGTAATTTGAATTCTAATGACAACATTATCAATCTTTTATTATGTGCTCCCATAATACAAGCACTGGATATTAACTTATCATTATAGTTTTCAACATAGGTACATGGGTATATTTATTCATGCGTGAACATCAAAAGTTGTTTCTTATCTGGTAATTTTTTTACGTTTTAATGTGCGTAGTATCTGTTTTCATTATATTTTTTAAAAATTTTTCAAAGATTCTTAGTAACACTTATATGTCAAGAATGTAATCAAAACAGTTGTAATCGAAAATCTAGGTCCAAAGTCTGAATTTTGAAATTTGGTCTTTTTTTAGATTCTCAAGTCACATCAGATTTTTCATTACTCTAATTAATTATTCTATATTTCTCTCTCAGCAAACGATGCTGATCTATAGATATGAAAATTTCCAGAATTTCTCACCTTCTACACACTGTATATCGATTTCAACTGTTCAATATTGCATAACCTTATAATATATCTTATATCATTACAGTGTGATTCACCATAAATGTCCCCCCCCCTCTAGCTCACTTATTTTTGAACCGATTTGAAAATTTCAAAAATCATCTAAGTGATCATCATAATGATTTTCCAGAATTTTTTTCCCCGTTGCATAAAAAAATACAGGGTGCTCGGAACAAACGATCTACAAAGTACTACTTGATTTTTTCAAATGGAACACCCTATATTTCATTGAATTTTCAGATTCTCCCTGAAGAGCTGATTTCATCAATGCATCACACTTGGGGTCTAGCGGGAATGATTACAGAGATATAGGGTGTTCAAAATCGAGATTTTTCAACTTTAGGATTTTTTTCGTGTCGAAACTATTCATTATTGATTGAAACGGCTCTAATGTCTCTATCTCAACTTTTGATTTACTATCTACTGACATTTAATTGGAACATATACAGTGCGGTTCAAGATTCAGAATTCTGATCACACTGTATCTGTTCCAATTATCAAATGTCAGCAGATAGTAAATCAAAAATCAAGATACATACATGAAAGCCGTTTTGACCGATAATGAATAGTTTCGTCACAGAAAAATCCTAAAGTTGAAAGATTTTGACCACCCTATATCTCTGTAATAATTTTTGCTAGACCCCAAGTGTGATGCATTGATGAAATAAGCTCTTCAGGGAGAATCTGAAAATACAATGAGAAAAACGGTGTTCCGCTTAAAAAAAATCAAATAGTACCCTGTAGATCGTTTGTTCCGATCACCTTGTATTTTCTGTAGCGGAAAAAAACTATCGAAAATCATTTTAGATGATATTATTTAAAATTTTGCAATCGGTTCAAAAATAACTGAACTAGAGGGGTGAATCACCCTGTACAATAGTATCAGGTATGAATTCTGAAGAATGAAAATATTTCGAATTCATCGTCTATGTATATGTGAGAAAGTATCAATCTTCAATTTTGGGTGATTAATTTTCAGCTTATGAAATGCAGTAAACTAAAATATGACGCTGGTGAAATCCGTGAAAATTTTTTTTTCGCTTGTGGAGCATTTTTTGTTTATCTCTGAATTACATAGATCATTGCCCTGGAAGTTCAATTTCAGCCCCCCCATTGAAATTTATTCTGGCGACGCTCATGTGTAGGTACTCAATTGATTTATAAATTTTTTGGTCTGAAACCTAAGGGCCATCCACATTGTCCAATATGTGTACAATCATCGTCCAATCCTGATGCAATCTGTCCATTCCCATCCAATATGACCAATCTGAAAAAAAATACAACAAATCCCAGTTCAGTTTCGGTTCGATTTGACCGATTTTAGTCGAATAAGTCGAATCTTTGTCCATTCAGTCTATTCTGGGCCCAATCCGACCATTCCTTATTTGACCATTCCCGATCAAATATACCAAGTTTAATCAAGATTGTTCAATACCATCAAAATAGGATCAGCAGTTCCGTCCAATTCCTTTCAATACCAACAAATGCAATTGTTGTCTACGTTATTTGTCACAATGGAAGGCAATTTTTATTCTTGAGACTTTGAGCTTGCTTTGAGCCTATCTCATAAATTTCTATGTGATTTTATCGTTATCAGTCTTAATTGGAATTGGTACCCGAGTTGGTACCTTATTTTTATACTCATCAAGTTTAAAAGGAATACCTAAAAAGTTCATTGTTGTTATCATTCTCATTAGAATTATCACTTGACTTCTGTATGTGCAAACATATTGTAAATTATCTGTACTTACTTATAAGGATGATACACTCATACATTTCTTGTCAACTCATTATTATTATCCAAAATGTTTAAAAAACATAGAATGTAATGCAGTTGAGAATTCCAATGTCCAAGTATTTCTACTAATGAATAGGTACGGTTTCATGGTATCTACCAAGTATCTATTGATTTGTTTTTTCAACTGAACAAAGATTCTATTGATTTGTTTTTTCAACTGAACAAAGATTCCCATATGTATTGTTTATTCATTTTATTTAGTATGGTAGAAAAGATATTGAATCTGCCCAGAAGCATAAAAATAATGAAATTGAAGAAGATGAGGGTTACAGTGAAGATACTGTCACCGCTGAGAAAGTCACTGAACTATCTAACCCTTCCAAACCCAATGGACTGAAAAATGGGGTAGTCAATGGAGGCAACACCCTGATTACAAGGGATGAAAAGTTGATTTTTGTACCAGAACCTCCTACACAACAGAACAAAGAGCTATCTGATGAAGAATTGAAAGAGGTAAGTGGATATGTGTACAGGGTGTCCTCATGGGGGTTATGGGGTTAATAGAGTATTTGTTTTTCAATATTTGGAATTTATATAGGATACATTGAAATTATTTATTTCTAGCGATTTTGAACTATTTTCCAGTTTATACTTTCAGGGTTAAAAATATACATACAGGTTATAGCAATCATTTTTCTCATCACTTTTCAAAACATAATTCTTTGTGAAAAAGAAAAAATAAACTTCTAGATACTGATGGTTATCAGTGAATCAGTTTTTGAAGAGATATGATTATGATAGGGAGATAATCTATTATATAAAATTCTCCTGTCCCAGTCACGGTATTAGTTTCCAAATTCCTCCGAAATAGCTCGACCGATTTATATGGAAATTTTTGTTCATATTTGGTAGGTATGAGAATCGAAAATTCAAGATGGCCGATCCAATATGGCAGACGAATTTTTTGATTATGTTCTGATTCTATTCAAAATCGGTATCTGGGGGTTTTCGGAGTCGTAGATTATGATTCTTTCGTCAAAATTTGGAAATTCAAGATGGCGGTTCCAATATGGCGGACGAGTTTTTTAATTGTGATCAGATTCCATTCAAAATCTGTATCTGGGAGTTTTTGGGGTCGGAGATTATGATTCATTAATCAAAATTAGGAAATTGAAGATGGAGGATCCAATATGGTGGACGATTTTTGTAATTATGATCCGATTCATTTCAAAATTTGTATCTGGAGGTTTTCGGGGTCGGAGATTATGATTTTTGAAGTAGAAAATGAAAATAGTAGTTTGGAATACTAATGAAACACGATTTTATGGATAGCCAATTTGAAAAGAAGTAGAAAACAAAATAATAAAAGTGTGTTGATGAATATTTAACTAAAAAAATATGTTCAAGAAATGAATTTATATAGAAAAACAACGTTTGCCGGGTATCAGCTATTGTAATAAATACTAGTTTGAAAACTAATGAAACACATAGATAGAACTAAAAAGAAGTGAGTAGAGAATAAAGAGTAGTTTGAAAAAATGAAGAGGTATAGAGTGCCGAACTAAAAAAAAGTAGAAAATGAATAGAAACTAAAAAATCCCGCTTTTATGGATAGTTTTTTGATGAATATCTGCCTAAAAAAGATTTCTAGAAATAATGTTTATGGCAAAACAATGTTTGACGGGTCAGCTAGTATTCAATATATTATTTCAACAGTGCACCACAGACAGTTTTACATTGTTTCACAATTTTACATTCTGAATTCTGAGGTCATTTCAAGCCAAGAGAACATGTTTGAAGAAGTTATTTCTATTTCTCACATGTGATAACCATTTTGCTTTTACAGGGTGGTCTAGTTTATTGTAGCAGAATTTCCATAGTAAAATATCTTATTTTAATAAGAATATGAATATTGGCGGCCGAACGATTTGTTTACTTGATACAGGGAAATTTATTATTCAATGGTCCTTCCAGTCATTTCTAGAAAAAATATGTTTTTAAATATATGGCTGGAATACCTTGAAATAATTTTTTGAGATTTCTTGCCATCAATTTATCTATCGTATAGAAAATTATTGTATACGCTAAAATGAACGAGCGAATTCAGAAGATCAGACATGACAGAAGCGTCTTACTGTTTGATGCCTGCATTACATTTTATCCTTGCACCATCTTGCACAAAGGATGAATTCAACATTTTATAGAGATCTGGCAACAGTGGATTGATTCTCATCCTTCAGAACTCCAAAACAATCAAATTGCAAGAAGACACTGACATCACAGCTCAGTGTAACGTTTGAATTCACAGGTATTGAAATAGCATTTTCAATATTGAAAAATTCATTTGTCGTTTGATTTTCTTGATAAATATGTGGTCAGGATAACGCTTTTAACTTTCCTTCATCTTCATACCATTATAGAGATTAGAGTCAAATTTTACGATTCTGGAAAGGTTCATTAATTATTAAGTCAATATACATTTAGATATACATAGTATGATACTCATCAATGCAATATGGGATCCTGTATGTACAATAAGATCTTTGTCTTGTGGCTCTGATTATGTGAAATGAAGAAAAACAAATTGACCAAATTAGCGATGTGATCGACTATCGCTTAAAAAAAATAGTGGTTTTGAATAAGAGAAGTTGTTGGTCTAGTGTTGATACACCCTGTACATGAGAACTCTGTAGGTGCCTTCTCCTTATCTTCTCATTTGTATCGATTAATTTGAGTTGAGGTCAAAGTGATTCCAGATCACATGAGAGACAGCATGTGAATGTGTGTATGTGATATCTGTGTAGATATCATGAGGTAAACCAAAACGTGCTCTTTGATCATTGTATATTGACAGTGACCTTGGAGAAACCTGATAAAATGTGAACTCTGTTTTGTAGATTCTTTTATGTAAAAGTTCAATCATTTTTTCGAGTAGATTTGAAAACCACTTGTTCTTGCAATGAAATATGATGAGTATTATTTCTTCTCCATAATAATTGTTTGACTAAACTGTGAACATTTCATCGAAATTGGCTCAAGTGTTTTCGAGCATTCGATGAAAAGCTCACATTATTTCTGTGGCGGGAAAACTGTTTGACATTTCATCTCTGTAGACAGGTTATGAAATGTCACTTAAATTACTTTTTAAAATCAAATCACAGAATCAGAAACTTCAAAATTCATGTCGTTAATTTTCTGATTTTAATATAATATAATATCTTGTCGCCTAAAAAATAGTGTATTATAATTCACGGGAAAAATATTAGATTTTAGCTCACTGTTTTTGTCTTCCCCGTTACTAACTGTTTTTTGATAAACTTAACGCCTTGTATCTCGGCATTTTTTGCTGCAACTCTGAAACACTCAGTACAATTAAAACGACAATTATAATTGAAGTCAAGTTATAATCGTTTTGCATTGATGTTGCATCATAGTAGATTGATTAACAATCAAGACAATCCATGCATATTCCATATTTTATTTAATTAGTGTCTGATTGATTCGAACCATGACACAAAAAAATATGAAAAAAAATTGTTACATTTCATGGCCATGTTGATGCATAAGATAATCATGTAGATGCAGTGTTTACTTTGAATGATGTATTATCTCAACTGCTTCAACGAAAACAATGAAATTGATATTGTATGTAAAACAGAATAAAAATAAATTATCATTTTGTGAAAAAAATTATGTCAGCTATATTTAACTTCTCATTAAATTGTGGAATAATTGGAATATTAACACATCATTAGTTTCATCAATCATCTGCCTGAATTCAGATTACTAGTCTGCACTAGGTGAACAAGGAAATATCTGTTTATTTCCAATATTTTCAACTGATATCACCAAAACATGAAGATATATTCAGATATTCAACTGGATTATATTTTAAAAAATAATGAATATTCAAAATTCAGCTAATTAAGATAGTTCATTCACCATTTAATTGAAGCATGACTGCAGAATATTAAAGAAATTATAATAATTCGAGTTTTTAGAAGAGTTTATAAATCACATTTTTTTTCGAGATTTTTTCTATGACTCTAAAATAACCTTCCGAAACGTTTATAAAAAGTGACACAATGTTCATAATTCAAGGTTCACGTCGCATTATGAGCACACTAAATGGCAGATCAAGTATAGGAGTAGGAAAAGTCAAATCCCGGGTGAAACGATACATGACAGTGTTAAAGTCCACATTTCCTGTATCAACTGGTTACCTGCTTGCTTACGTCTCACATATATGGCAGCAATCTATTGAAAAATATGGTGAAACCTTAGCCGTGGCACTTGATATCTCCAAGGCATTCGATCGAGTCGGGCACCACGGACTCCTCGCCAAGCTTCCATCTTATGGCTTGCCTCCCCAGTTACGAAGTTTCATCTGACTCTCTTATCATAAATGCTGGTGTTCCGCAAGGATCGATTCTAGCACCAACACTATTTCTACTCCATATCAACGATTTGTTGGAAGCAACTTCATGTCCAGTAAACAGCTTCGCGGATGATAGTACCCTCCATACCGCCTTCTCTTCCAAGGCTCCAATACCAGCCAGGCAAATCAGAAACAAACGAGGGAGAAATGTTGACAACATAAATATGGACTTGGCAACAATTCTCGAATGGGGATCCAATAACTTGGTAGATTTCAATGCAAACAAAACACAAGCATGCCTTTTCCATAGAAAAGCCGATCTCACTGTGCCCAACAGAACCATACTATCAGCAATAACCTTTCTTGGGAAAATCACGTGAGATCAGGTGCTAGAAGTGCATCCCAAAAACTTGGTTTTCTGCTATTTCACTTCCAGTCAGCTGCTTATGATCTATACTGTATCCATATTTGGAATGCAGCACCGAAACATACCCTGAAACTGTTGGATTCTGTCCAAAAAAGGGCAATTCGTCTCGTGGGTGATGCCTCGCTCACAAACTCACTCACGTCTCTGGAACACCGAAGAAAAGTTGGCGATCTGGCTCTATCTTATAGATATTTTCATGGACGATGCTCTTCTCACATATCAGCAAATGTTCCTCCCTTGGCAGTCTCCGCGAGATTAACCCGTCGAGTTGAGGCTTCGCACCCCTTCGTGGTCACTTTGGAGATCTGCAGAACATCTCTTTCCAAAGACTCGTGCATCCAACGAACAGCGAGGCTCTGGAACACATTTCCAAGGGAGGTGTTCTCCGAGGCATATAACCTCCAGAAATTCAAAAAGAACACCAATTCCTACCTCAATTTCCTTGGTTCTCACGATGTTCTCTGAACATTACAGGATATCCCTGTTCGTGGGAACCAGAAAATAAAAAAAATATCAAACTGGGAATTTTCGGTGAAACCGGAAGGGATTGAACAAAAATAGTTTGGTCAATCAATGAGCAATGTGGTAAACTTGCTACCAACTTTCAAAATCCGATCTTGAATGATTCAGAAGATACAACATTGGCAGTTTTTTGTGAAGTTCTTAGTACCGATATGAAGATTTCTTATAATAATTAAGAGTCAACTTATGAATTTGCATCCAAGATGATTATTTTCCAAATCACTTTTAAATCCCGTTAGATATCATTTGAATCTTTCCATACAAAAATCGATGTTGTATTTCCTGATTATCAATTTTAGAGAGTTTTGTTGTAGGAAAAATACAAAGATTTCGATTTGTCAGCTGTTTTCGACTATGTACGAGCCGGGGTAGAAGCCATCATCGAAGATCAAGTAACTTCACGTTTTGAGGCTGAAGAATTGAAAAACTGGAACTTGTTGATTCGCACAAACAGAGGTTACGAATTCATATCATGGAAGCTGACCTTCATATGGATTTGCGGATTCTTCATCAGATACTTCTTCTTATTCCCTTTGAGGGTGATCATCTGTTGTTTTGGGGTAAGTTGAAGTTCTCGTCGAAATAACAAATTCTAGCAAATGGAAATGACTAATCATCTTCCCTAAATGTAGGTCAGGAACAGATGTTCTCTAAAAAATTGATTGTATGAGCTCACCTCTAGAGGAGAATTTAGAAACTTATCCTGGGAAAACTGATGAACAGTCGTTGAGGACCGAGCTATAATTCTAAGAAAGAAAAAATGTATTGTCTATAATGTAATAATCACTATTATATCATCTCCATATTTTCCGTAGGTCTGAGAATTCAAAGTAGGGAAATAGGTTTTGTTTACTGACCAACTTTTCAACAGTCTTGTAGTATCTGTGTTTGTCACACTAGGTGCTTGAGGCACGCTTGTCATGACTGTTAAACAGCTGTTTATTGGAATTTGAAGCTATAACAAAGACTTGGAATGTCCTCTTTTCTTTAATCAACTCAAATAAATGGTATCCATCATTCTTAGAATTTTTGTAACTCTTTGCCAAAGAAGACGTAGGTAATCGAAAACATTTTCACGGGGACGCCTATCCAATTTTCGGAACTGACGTTTTAAATTTGAAAATGATGACAATTCGCGGAGATGTCAGCTGTGACAAGCGTGTCCACACTCTTTAAAGGGCGTGAAATTAGATGGTCAAGGCACCCTAGTACACTCTTGTCAAATCTACGCCATATTCATATTAAATAATGATTTTTTTCTGCAACCGACAGAAAAGTCGTCCATTTTAATACCAGAATTTGCTCTTGAATTGACGTTTCTATTACTGACACAAACATAGGCAACATTTTTAGTTTCTAGGAGCTTTAGCTCAACTTCAAAAGAATGTACTAGATGTCATCAAGAATAAACAAACTTGTTATGGTTGGTTATTTGGGTTGGGACGCATACCTGATTTGTTTCCGATTTCGGAAAATTTGGCATTCCATACTCATGCTGGAGATATTATAGTTAAGTATGTTAGTTTTGATCAGGAAAGCCATCAAGATTCACGGATAACTTGTTTTGATTAATGACGGCCAGCAATACTTTTTTGTCTCGCACAACGATATTGTTTAGCTTCATTTGATTACCAAGCCAAACATAGACTATGGAGAGAAATAAATAATCGCTATTATCATTGTTTATATACCTATCATTATCATTCAAACTTTGAATTTATATTTGTTTTCTCGTTCACGGTCCACCATTTTTGTTCGTATTTTCCACTTTAGATAGCAATGTTGGTAGCCACCACGCCTCTGGTAGGTCTTCTACCCAAAGGCGCGATCAAGCGTTGGGTGAACATGAGAGTCTACAAAATGTGCTTCAGAGTCATGTCGCGATCTCTGTCCGGCTCAATCAATATCCACAATAAGCAATGGCGGCCTGCGTGCGGGTCAGTGTGCGTAGCCAATCACACTTCGCCAGTGGATTGCGTCATTCTGTCCACAGACAATTGTTACTCCTTGGTGAGTCGAAGCCTAGACTCGAAACCACGACGAAACACTCCAGATTTACTATGCTCATGTATTTCTTGGGAACGTTTCATTGGGAGCTGACTTTTCTCGGCTATCTATCGGTACAATCACTGACATAAACTAGAGTTCCTAAATGTACTTGACACTGCTGTTTTTACGTTTTTTGTATATTAGAGTCATATACGTATTAATAATCAATACGGATAATCTCTATCTGTTTCCATAGCGAAACATGAAGTCCATTTTTGAAGACAAATGACTATCCATAAGGAAAAGTTTTGAAACGATCAGACACATACTGCTTTGATTGAAAGGCTAGTAAACGTCATTGTCCACCGAAACGCATGTCTTTGATGACTACTATTATAGCGCATGGCGCATGCGTATCATGCCACCAAATCCTTATGGATATTCATTCGTTTCATATTTTTGGCTTCATCCTGGCACCCGTTATGATCCGTATTGTTTATTAATACGTATATGATTAGAGTACGCACACTGACAAGCACTGACAATCAGACATAACCACAAATAAATTGATGGAAAAAGCGGGAACTGACAGTCCACGGACTACATCACATAAATTTCAACTGTGAGCACACGGAAAATCAATTCACTCTGTTCGAATTTCCATCGGATAACGTAATTCTACAAGAATGGAAACAGAATATGATGCGGTCGGCATGGAATATAGGTTCAGACCACAAAATTTGCGAGGTATTCAAATTTCTTGGTAGCATATAGAACATTTTTCAACGCATTTTTATCAGGTACACTTCAGAACGGAAGATTTGATGTTGAAGAATAGGATCGTATTGAGAGAAAGAGCCGAACCCACAATTTATTAACTGAGCGAGTATCGAAAAGAACCTTATTCCAATTTAGAACCAACAAGAAACGAAAAACTTGCAGATAACGAAATTCATTGCGAACATATTTTGAAAGAAAATGACTTGAAAATCGAATTTTCAGAGCAGGAATATTCAAAAATCTCTCGAGGAAACGCTATGCACTCTCATACAAAAATCAAAAACAGAGAAAGATATGGATGTACTCTTCCAAGGACTTGTGGAGAAGGAAGATGCACCCTTTATCTAAGCGAAAAATATATTCCTGTCCTAGTCTGGCAAAATATATGATTTACTTCAAAATCGTTTGTGGTTATGTTTGATTGTGACTGCTTGTCTAGTGTCCGTACTCGAATATACATAAATGTCAAAACAGCAGTGTCAAGTACATTTAGGAACTCTAACATAAACTACTGTCTAGACCGCTAAGAAAGAAGCTTTGCCACTCACGAGAAACAGGACTCATGGGTTCTTAGGACCTGTTGTATATCTTACCGACCCTTAACCTTGATTACACTTACAACATGATCCACCTCCATGAAAAATGTTGAAGCCAGATTTTGGGCCTTAGTCCTTGCCTGCTCAGCAAATAATGGCCGATATGTCTATTCGAATATAAGCGTACGCCACCTATCGAAGTTTTTGTAAGCTGTCTCTTCATTAGCATACAAAATGCTCTTTACAGAAAAATACAGAATAAGCAAAAAAAAAACAACACAAGTATCACAAATAACAAAAGCCCTTCAAAAGACAAAAACAGGTACTGTTATAGGTACAACATATTAAAAGTTACTATAGGTACAATATTAAAAATCTACTAGATACAACCAGATACAACATATTAAAAGCTACTTTCATAAAATATAATTTCATACTATTAAAACTGTTTGAATAAGTAGTCTTTGCATTTTTTTTAAAGGTTCAAAGTCGTGAGGTTTTTTGTCTCAGGGGGTAAGCCTTATTAAATACTGTGTCACAGTGCATATTATCCATTGGAATATAAAAATCATTTGCAGTTCGAGTTCTAGTCTCATGAGTGTGTACATTTTCTATATAACTTAATTCGTCACTGGGGTAGGTTGGTAACATACTGTTTTTCATCTTGAACACAAATACCAACATATTGTAATGAATTCTTTGTTTCACAGACATTAATGATAATGTATCTAACATATTTTTTATTGGAGTACGTTCGTTACAAATGAGCATAGCTCTCATGGCACGATCAGAAGTATTGAAGTTGTTGCCGTCAGGTGGAGCGATGTGATATTTTTTATCGCGAATACTCTGCTCTAGTCCATCTATCTGCGAGTTACTCAAGTATCTAGTAATATCCTTCTGTCTGGAGCAAGAACATCACTAACATTGATGTTCTGACTCTTCTATATTCTGCATTACCGATCTGTACCCTTAGCTACTCAACCAAAAGTAGTAAACATTTTGGATGAGATGTTCGGGTTGCTGGGATGTGAAGTATAGCAAAGCGGTCTAGATAGTAGTTATGACAGTGACTTGTACCGATGAAAGACCCAAAGAAACTAGTTTCCTAATCCTCATGAATCTTTGCCAACAATCACATGAGAATAGTACCAGATTCCAAATAAGAAGATAGTAGGTGGTGCTGCCTCTGAAGGAATATTCATGATGAAGAAATGAGAATACGCCTAATTCCTAATCATGGTCATGTTTATGATTATGATTGACTACCAACTCTGATTATCTTCTTGGAATGGACTATAGTGTGTTTCTAGAGTGTTTAAATCTTTGGTTGGAGGCAGAGAGAATTAATTGAAGGGGCCTTCCATGCAGTTGCTTACTGTTTTGTTTGGTGCCAGTGCCGGTTTAGCGTTTTGCTGGGTCTTTTTCTCAGTTTGGGACAACTTCTGCATATTGATGTTGCAATTGGTCTGGGGATTGTGTACATATTGCTTCGTTTTGTAGATATAAAGAATCAGTAATGAATTGTGTGCAGAATAATTTCTCTGGAATTCACTGGAAATTTTTCAGAATTTTGAAAGTGATACTTTCTGCTTAAAAAACGTTTTATAATAAACTTTACATTGGTTTCAAGAGGTCTTGGAATATTTCAACTGACGTCAAACCAAAAATGCCAAATCCCTTCAATAATCTTTTATAAAACGTAGGAAGCTCACAGCAAGAAACGGTTTGCGGTGGTGAGCTAGTTTCCTGAATTTTTCCATATATAAAAGACTGATTGACGTTATTTGAATGAATCTTCGTATTTACCTATTAATGTGTATTGATTGAGCAACTTCTCAGTAGTGTTAATTAACGTAAACTTTTTATTAGTAAGTAAGTAATTGAAAATGAAAAAAGTGATTTTGACCCCTATTTTCCCACAATTTTAGGTTCAAGAGATCATTTCACAAAAAACTCATGAGGGATAGTACGAATATTGATTTCCTAGGATCTCTATGATGAAAGACAATGTACTTCCTATACTATCTTGAACATTTCAAAATATCTTTGAACTGGGAGAAGCACCATCATGAACAACTCTAATCAATGATATTAGAAAATATGTTCAGATACGTTGCTTGGACATGGACATATGGACATGACTTAGTAACCTGTTGTTGTATATAGACATTTTTTGAGCATTTTTTTCAATATATTATTGGTTCAAAAATTGCGTAAGGTGGTTGGTCTTGAGTGTGCTGTGGTATGTGGCTAATAAAATTACGTCCTATACCCGGTAGCCATTCAATCCATAATTCTTTTTTAATGTTGAAAACATTGAAAAATACGCACATCTATAAAAATCTTGATTTATTAGATATATACAATATATCTTCAAAGAATATCAATTCTCTGGCAATGTTTCCGCAAAGTTATTCCCACCATTCGCGATTTCGTTCATTCACCCGTGTTTGGCGTTTGGGATTGTTGGCGTATACGTTTTGATGATTTATGAATGAATCTGTCTATTATTATTTAGTCTGAGGGAAGAAATGTAATAAGCACACATGCATTTATTCAGAAAACTCCTCTTTTTGTCTGATTTTTAGCAGCACATCCTCATCACAATAGGTACTGTTGATTATTTCATGTCGCTTCCTGTAACTGTCCTCTTTCTGGCAACTTGCAGGTGTTGTGGCTGACTTTGTGTACGGCTTTGGTGGGGTACATCCGACCGGGCGCGTTCAAGCAAAAGGTCAACAAGTACGTGTCGCTAATGTGCTTCGGGATACTGTCCAGGGCCATCTCTTCCGTCATCAGCTATCATAACGAGGAGAACAGGCCGAAAAACGGGATTTGTGTCGCTAACCACACATCGCCGATAGATGCGCTCATTTTGTTGTGTGATAGTAACTATTCTTTGGTAGGTGGCAGTCGGAGATCTGATAATGTATAAACTTCCTACCTGTACGTAGCATTGAAAGTAACATAAAGACGGATCAACGTTCTGCCTACTAAGACTCTGTAACAATATGTCAATGAAATTCACTCGCAACCAAAACCACCTAGAATCAAACAACCACATCATGTGTCATCAATAAGTCCAGGTTACTATACTTTTCAGTTTTTGGCAATGCATTCTTTTTTAATCATTGCAGATTACTCGTCAGGGTTCAACTTATTCTTGGTTACTATAAATTACATGATAATATGTTAGGTATAGTTGTAATGTTTTCTTTTTAAAAATACACATTAGTGCCAAACATACTTGATAACCAAACTTTTGCTGTGAAACTATTTGTTTTTGGAAGCAATAAAATAAAGTGGCGACAATAGACCTCACAATGGCTGCCGTTTCCGGAATGTCATTCATGGTCAATTATCTGAATGGCTAAAAATCTAAAGGTTATCTCCCATGCAGTAATGAATTTGCGCCTTCGAAGTGCTCATCTGATGTTAGGTTAGATTATTTTCTCAAAAGACGGACCGAATAGTTCATATTCAAGATACCAACGTATGGAGTTTCAGGTCTGTTGTTTTGTGTCCATAGAGCGAGTAAAAATGGAAAAATTGAGAAAGAACGCGAGGCACTGCCTGGAGAAAACGAGACAGGCGGATGCACCTCCATATTGAGGTCTACCAATCAAAAAGTGCATCACTATTGTCGCCATTCTATCTATAATGCTGTTTAACTGAATGCTAATCATTGAAAACATTTTCAGTTCTCAGTAGGATTTTATCCAGAATGTCTCTTTATTGACTAGAAATTTCAATACTGACCATCAGTCACCATCATCTGATGTCGTTGCGCCATTTTGGTCTCTTGCATCTCATTCTTATGTTATTTTCAATTTCTCCCTCTCTCTAGGCACCATTTAGTAGTTTATATATTACTAGATCTTCAGTAGCAGTGCTTTCGTAATTTTGTTGTCATTATGTGTACATGGTGATTCACCTAAGGCTGCAAAGAGTTATTCGGTGGGTTGCCCCCAACAAAATAATTTGAAATAATGCAAATAAAAAATAATAATGACAAGATTATCTTATTTTTAGCAATATGTATAATAACATATTCATGAACAGTATGTTGAATTTTCATGCAGAGTACCTACTTATTCACTTTCATTAGGATCTCTGGAGGTTTTAATACATTGGACTGCTGTCAAATTTCACACATTCTTTTTATCTTAGATGAATCAGCCGTTATTATTCATTTCTGCATATAATTTTCGGAGCTTTGCTTGCTATTAAAATTGTGATTAGCTTGCAATAAAAAGAACCTTCTACCAAAACATGTCGCGTTTTTGAGAATTTTGTGGTAATCATGTAGTTTTTACAATTACTACGGATTTCCATGAAATAGGCAGAGTCAATTCAAAATCTATCTAGTGTTTTTAATATATGCTTCAAATGTGCAATCGAGCTTCCTTTGTTACTGATCACATATAAACACCATGGATAAACGGACCTCATGGGCAAATAGATGGTTCGCTATTTCGAATTTCAGCTATTTGAGGTATATCATTGAAGGTACTTTCAACATATTCTTTAATCATCAATAAAGTTCTAACAATTCATCACATAAATGCTAGAGAACCGAGTATCCATAGTGTTCACTATCTATTTTGACGAACAGCTTCTCTAACTTTTTCACACTTTAGATCGGACAACGTCACGGCGGTTTCTTAGGGATATTCCAAAGAGCCCTGGCAAGGGCTTCGCCTCATATTTGGTTCGAGAGATCGGAGACCAGAGACAGGCATGCTGTGGCAAGCAGGTAATTCAATGTCCTGTATTCAATGGGGAAGTTTCCTTCAGACGAATTTTCATAAAATTAGTTTGGAACTCTCCAGTTTTATGTCCACGCTGTACAGAAAGGCGACCGATAAAGCCAAAGTCGTTTTCATTTTCAAATTGAAGCACGGCAAACTGTGACGCACATTATGAATCTAGTCTAAAAATAGCTGATGGTGAATAAAGCTAACGAATTGCTAATGAATGAAAAAAATAGAAGTAGAAGTGAAACATACATAACCACAAATGCACTCGGAGCAGGAATGCAGAGGGTATTTGGCTTCATTCTGACAGGTTATGGTTTTGTTATTTATCCATTGAAATAATAATATATCGAATTGAGCTTGATCCTGAACGAAAATATCATTGTATCAATGAATCACTATCGGCTACATTACATGATACTACTTCCTAATTTACTGTCATCGGTTGAAACAGAATGAAGCCGACACCCATAGCTCCTTCCTCTTGTTGTGCCTGTCAGTATTTTGAGTGGTGTGGACGGACTCGAAGTATTAGGCGCTGTTGCAAGATATAATCTGCAGCTTTCCTAGAAAATAGATCCGTTTTATTAAGGAACAAATTCATTAGCAAAAAAATGATTGACAAGTTATGAATAACATATTGTAATATAACGATGGTGAAAAATTATAGATACTATCGAAAAATATCATAATGTATCTTCATTAGTAATCAACTTCGTTCAGCCAATGAGAGATTATTGGGAATTATTCATACTACTTGACAAAGTAGGATTGAAGAACCTATTATATCCCATTGCTGTTATGCTATAGTTATTATGAATTCAAAGAAAAATTTCCGGAAATCTAGACATATTGATGATGTCGGCAACGTCATACTGGCACAGGAAATCGTATTTTATCTCTGTGTGAATGTGGATTTTCAGACAGTACGTCATAGGAATGTTGGAGGAGCCAAGTTCCTCTTTTATTTATTTTTTTCTGAAGTGAAATTTGATCTCCGAAATTCTGTGAGAGAAACTTTGTATTGCCTAGTCAACTCGCTCGAAATTATTTTGTTTACACTGGCAGGCTCATCATCCAGTATGAATATTTTGATAAAGGCATGGTGGACAATCTACATGAAGAGAAACAGTGTTCGAGTTGAATTCATTGATTATATCTGTTATATTTCGCGCTGATCGACTGGGTCACACCAAAGCACAGGGTGATTGTTAATATTTTCCTCAATAGCTATCTCACTTAATATTGGTGTAAAAGAAACGTTCAAATTGGCAAAAATGAAGTCTTTTTTATGGGCATTCAATTTGTTAAAATGCAAAAAACCTAAAAATTCCACATAAACTGACATTTGTTGAATGGAACAACCTGTTTTTTGTTTTTCTAAATGGTAGAACTCTCTTCTGATTTAAAAAATATATATTCTTTGTTATGGTAATATTCTGTCAGGTTTTGAAAAATATGAATTTCTTGGCATAGATCTAGAACAGAACAAAGAGCTCTATCGATTATGGAAATGAAATACAGGGCGTTCCATTTGAAAAATACCAGTTTATATAACATTTTTGGTTCATGATGCTTTTTTTGCATTTTCTAGTAATAGATTCTGAATGCCCATAAAAAATGCTTATTTTTTTACAATTTGAACGTTACTGTATGGTCACTAACAACTGAGATATCCATATTGAGTGAAATATCAGCAATCACCCTGTACTTTACGATATATATTCGTGTCTTCAACAGAATTATAACTCATTTTCAATATCTCAATACCTACTTATTAGAAGAGATTGACAGCTCGTTGGATCCTTCTATTTTTCTGGAAATAATATCTTGTGATTCCCATAATTTTTAGGTTGAAAGAGCACGTTTCTAATCCAAAAAATCCACCCATTCTGATTTTCCCTGAAGGAACTTGCATTAACAATACATCAGTGATGCAATTCAAGAAGGGTAGCTTTGAAGTGGGTAGTATCATTTATCCGGTCGCCATCAAATACGATGCTAGATTTGGGGATGCTTTCTGGAACAGCAGTCGGTAAGAGAAAAAACCTAGTCCTAGATTTTTTTTTCGAAAAAAGGATCATCAAATATTTTTTGGGTGTTTTTTAGGTATTCAATGTTGCACTATCTGTATATGATGATGACTAGTTGGGCGATAGTTTGTGACGTGTGGTACTTACCCCCGATGCACCAGGAAGAAGGGGAGACAGCCATAGATTTCGCAAACAGGGTGAAAAGTGTGATAGCTAAGCAGGGTGGACTGGTAGATTTAGTGTGGTGAGTCCAGAGTCCCTATTTTGTTTTTCCAAGTGTTTTTAATATTATTTTCATCTACATTGAAATACAAAAATATACCCAAAATACCACATTGATGCAGAGTGTTTGTTGATTGCCAAAACTTGAAGGTGATAATAATTCTGTCTTGAATAATTGTGGGACCAAAAGTTCATGCTAGTATGGCTTTTATATTTTTTCAAAATTGAAATCAAGATTTATATTCATCTTATATTTTGTTAGCATCGTGCACATAAATCTATTTCATTTTATCTTCCGAAAACTGGTGTTTATTGAGATTTCCAATTCCTGAGATGCCAAAATCTCACCATGTTTGAACACTCACGTTCAGATTGTTGAATAATGCAGCGCATGTGCAGCGTTGCCACGAATTTAAGATTGATTCAGTGAAACTTCAATTCACAATTTCATCTCTTTTGAAAGGTACTAATCCTAGTGCATGATAAAAAAGGTAACAATACATACATTATTCACTATAATTGTCTGAATATTATGTTGATATTTTGGGTAGGTATTTGTATTTGAGTATTAAGGCAGTCTAAACATTTTCACTTCTGAAATATTTCTCGAACAACTTGATTAATTCAACAATCTAAGGAAGTTACATTCATTATTTGAATAAGCCTTATTTTCATTTAGATATATTTTTTTGAGACGCGTGCGGTCGTATTTAGATCCAAAATTTGATTGGGTAATGTGAAGGTGAAGTCTCATTGGCTATAGCTCCGACACAATATTCTGATTGGACAATTCGAATATGGCGGTTTTTATTGACGTTCTGTCAAATGTCAACAGTGTCAACCACCATGTACATTTGTTATTGAGAAACAACAAAAACAACATAGTATTTTCGCTTCTTTATTCCTGGTGGGTATTAATGGGGAAGACCACTGAGAGAAGAAATCCGTGCAAACCTCTTTCAATCGACGAATCATTATTTTCGTTTGATGTACAATCAATATTATGAGTTGAAGTTGAAGGGAATCGAATCTATATCATTTTGAATTCAGCATATTTCATTCGATATTTCGAACAGCCAAATATGATGGTGGAGTCGTGACGTATTAGTCCCGAATTGTAGCTATCTCTCTCTGATACCTCGTTATTCTGCAGTGTTGCAGTGTGATTGATCAGTTCAAGGACAATAGGCGTGTTGGGAATAAGACGTCGCACCAGTCACACCAATGAATTGACAAAATTTCAAATGGCGCAGGAATTGTGTGTTTTGAAATGGACATATTCTAATTTATTATTTTCATCGTCTTAGCATGAATGACAAAAATCAAAATTAATTCGCTGGTAGTTTTTCAGTATAGAGTTCACGATAATGTCATTTTAACAAATCAGTGGTCTCCCCCATTGTATTATCATTTATCTTCTGAATGAAAAGGCCTATTCCTATTTTAGTTCTCTTAGGAAAGATTGGGGACATATTTGAAGTTTGCTATTTTTAGGGATGGTCAATTGAAAAGAGTGAGAGCCAAGAAAGAGTGGAAAGAACGGCAACAAGAAGAGTTCAGCAAAACTCTAAAAGCTGAGTAAAGCCTGCTTTCCGAAGTGTATTTGGGTTAGAATTTAGCTTCAGTGTGGTGATTCAATTTCTAAACTAGCTTCATGATAGTTTTGTCAATATTTGTTTTGTTTTGCCCTTTTAGATCACTTTTAAAAGGGAAGAAATCTAGTCCCCCGTTAATCATTAATTTTTAGTGAAAGAACATTGGATATTTTCAACACTATGACGAATTTACAAAGTTTATAATAAGTATCTGCTGCTCCAAAATTGAATTACAAGACTCTCACCCCATTATAACACATATCTGCCAAAATAGAAGACTAAAAAAGAAGGCATTGTCAATCGACGATTTTTTTAGATCTATCGCCTTTTATGGGGTGATCCACTTGAAATTCTGAGTAGTTTATTATATTATATATTATTATAATTATTATATTGAGCATTTGTTAATTTGTCAAGTGTTGAAAAACTCATGATACCTATGTGTAGTGTTATCAAATTCCTTTGATTTTAAATGTAATTTCCGGTATATTGGGCTGGAGGTTTATGATATACAGGGTGATTCACGGTGGATGGCACATTAGACGTTTCTGTCGCGAGAACGCAAACTCAGGATTATTCTGAAAAGTTAGTGCCTTGGATAATTAGTTGTGTTTTATCGACCTAAAATATTCTCAGCGTTGCGACGTTGCCGCTCATATTGAAAAGTAGCAACAACTTTGATTTTTTCAATGGAACACCCTGTATATCATTCCGTTTTCAGATTTACCCTGAAGAGCTGATTCCATCGATCTACTTGGGGTCTAGCGGGAATGATGACAAAGATATAGGGTGTGAAAAATCGAAATTTTTCAACTTTGAGAATTTTTTGGGTCGAAACTATCCATAATTGATCAAAACGGTTTTCATGTCCCTATCTTCACTTTATTGAAATAAATACAGGGTGGTTCAGAATTGAGATTTTTTACCACCCTGTATCTATTTCAATTAAATATCAATTGATAGTACATGAAAAGTTATGATAGGGACATGAAAACCAGTTTCGAAATAAGAAATTCTTTAAGTTGAAAAAATTCGATTTTTCACACCCTATATCTTTGTTATCGTTCTCGCTAGACCCCAAGTGTGATAGATCGATGGAATCAGCTCTTCAGGGAGAATCTGAAAATGGAATGATATACAGGGTGTTCCATTGAAAAAATCAAAGTTGTTGCTACTTTTCGATATAAGCGGCAACGTCGCAACGCTGAGAATATTTTAGGTCCATAGAACACAACTAATTATCTAAGGCACCAAATTTTTAGAATAATCCTGAGTTGCGTTCTCCAGAATAAACTTTTTATGTGCCATCCACCGTGGATCACCCTGTATATGGCATAGGTTAACATGCTCCAATGATACTGCAAAGACAATATTCAACCTTTCTTAATTTTAAGCGCTACCCTTTGTTATTTTTTAACCATTAGATTTAATAATTTATTCAAAGCTAAATATATCAATGGATATATAGATTTATGATATAATAAGAACTGATGCAGCATTTATTTTGTACTATACTTTTTATGTTAAAGAAAGAGCATGATGAAAAAATGGCCTATTTACAAGATGTCTGTATTTGTATGTTTTCTTTTGAGGGCCAGTACTTTGTGACAATACATTGTTAGTTATAGTGATACATACAGGGTGGGTCAGTTTTAACATTGAATTACAGATATTTCAGTTGTGGAACTCTGTCTTTTGAAATAAACGAAGAATAAGTCATTTTTGAAAATCAAATGAACAAGAGTGCTATACACATTTTCAACACCCTTGATAATGGAGAATTACCTAAGTCCAGAATATTTTTATTCTTTTTTTTAAGGAAAAGTGAAAACTGCAAACAAGTGATTCCATTGGGAATCTGATTCACAACTGAAATCTATAATTTTTGTATCAAAATCTAATTGAAGATTGTGAAAAACTGAACAGATTTTTTTGAATGGTACCAAAGTATGGGTCCTACCATTGGTAGTATAATAATTACTGTAACATACAAATTCTGTCTAGTTTTGTATCTATTCTTGAGTAAATAAATAAACTCAATACTGTGTGTTGACCTTTTATTTCAAATTTACCGCCAATCAAGGAAATGTGTAGGTTAGGAAAAAGAAAGAAGAAGAAGAGGACAGGGAGTGGGAGTGAAGCGAAGAAAGAAGTTGAAACTGACGAAAGAGATCCAAGTAGATTTTGAGATAGTTTCTTTATTTGTATAGTATTTACAATGAAGGAAGTAAGATATGGTGCGCGCATTCGGCCATTATTGCGTATTGAAAATTTCAGAAAAATCACTCCACCGCCTACTGTGATTTCTCTACGTCACAACGAGCGAGACCTTGATTCAAAATTTTGCCGCTAGATGGTGATGCTGCTATTGCTGCTCAAGGTTGGTAGAACTGCTTATAATTTGTATAGGATCCTCTACAAAATAGTCATCAGTTCTACCAACCTTGTTGCTGCTGTGACGAGTGGAAATAAAATGAATGTATGTACGCTGTAAAATGATAAATGGCATTTTAGGTACGCGGAACATATGTAACAGTGGGAGTATTCAACTCTAAACACATAAAACTGATGGATCTCATAATTCAAGGTTGGTAGAACTGATTATAATTTGTACAAAATAATCATCACTTCTACCAACCTTGATCATAATTATGCAATGTCGCCATCTATTAGAAGATCGACGGAACCATTGCTCTCGCTGGTTGAGTGAAATTTCTGAAACAAAAGCGCATCAGTAATTACACATTACACCATATCTTATATTATCTTACTTCCATCATTGTATTTTGTATTTACAAAAGCCCTTATTGATCTGTTTGTGAAGCTATGTATTATGTTTTTATGTGAGGAATATAGTACATTGTTAGGAAACTGCTCAAAACCAAGAGAACATGTGTATATTTATTTCATTTCAAGCTTTTGCCAAAATAAAAATTGAAAATACAATATTTAACAAACTATACACAACTGGGAATAGGGATAAACAATTTAGAAAACTTTGCAACCTATATCTATTTAATAAACTAGCTCTCCCACAAGTCAATTAGTAGCATTAATTCTTTCCACATTTTCACACTTTTCTAATTCTTCAAGTTTCTGCTGTTTAAATAATTCAACCAACTCATCTTGACTTGTCCTATTTAGATGATCAGGTGTTGACAGTTCTTCATCAGGAAATTTGGCTAGATTCAATTTTGGATCCTTGAATGTAAATGGTGTCCAAGGCCCTTGTATGGAAGGGTTATCAGTGTGCCATAGTTTACGAATCCTCATTCCTGTGCTATTTTTCTGTTGGGTTTTCAGGAGATCTATCCATTTTGTGATTTCATCTTTTGTGAAATTTCTACAGTTCAACCACTGTATGTCTCCATTCACTGAAAAATGATACTGTAAATTGAATGAAGGGATTCAAATGTAAGAAGACTCACAATATTCAGCTTTTATGATTGCTGTTCTATGTCTTCTGGGTTTCAAATATACTACAATGCCTGGATTATTTTTTGCAAAATCTACTAAATCTGCCTCTATGAATTCCCTGTGAAGTGGATATATAGTTATGCACTGAAATATCCCAATATATAATTTACCTCATCCCACGACTGGACCCACTGCTTTTGCAAAATTTCAAAACCACCCTCTGTAATTGTCCTACATATCGACCAACTCCGTTCTGTAGTGGCACTTTTATGAATCCTGGTTTCAAGAATAGGTGGCTATTTGACATTTTTGAAATGTACCGAGGAATATCAGCAATTTAAAATAAAATATTAGAAAGTAGAAGGAAAATCTACAAAAAATGCATATCCAAATTCCCAACAAGAAAGTAAGGTTAATGTATGTATGACACTGACACAAGTGACACATGACATGATTGACATGATTTGTGACTACTTCTCATTTTGAAAACTTGGTCTTTTGTTTTGTGACAGTACCGTACATAGCATACTGTATTCAACTTATGGTCTGATGATGTTCTGATGCATATGAGCTCAGTTCTGCAGATGTTGGGAGCACAGGTTTAAAATTTTCTTCTTCTTCTTCTTAGAAACCAGGGAACCAGGCCAGTTTAATGTATGTACGCTGTACGCTGATGAAGCTAAATAATATTATCTTGGGATTTTGCATTCATGATGTGAACAATCGAACATTTTCGATTGAATACATGGTAATCTTCAATAACAATAAATACATAACACTATACATCATATATACATTCATGATAGAAAAAGGAAAAATCTTAAATTTTTCCAATACACAAAATATAAAATAAATAACATATTTATACCTATACCTACACAAATGATTGACTTGAAATATATTAGAGATCGAAATTATTTGAATTCAAGAGTATTCTGATGTGTCAGTGTATAATACTGCTAAGGCCAAAATGGCTAACAGATTCGAAATCACATCAGAGAGACCACGTCATTCTTTGCCGGAAAAATATAATTCGGGAAAAATGATGTTCAGAGGAATGATTATATTATGTTGTTTACAAATTTTAAATCATAAAATATACTTATAGTAGTTTACTAGACAAGTATGCGAAAAGTCCTAATACTTTTCCGCACTATTGCGGAAAAAGATATATTTCCAGGAGAACAATCAGCACGTAATTTTAGCTCAGAAAAATTAATATTCAGGAAAAATAATTCGTTTTTGAATTTTTTGCCTTTGATTGAAAATCCGAGAATTCTATAAAATGTTTTAATTCCATCAGGAAAACTGTTAGGACTAGCTACAAATTCAAAATCAGCACGTAATTTTGAGCCATTACTAATAGAGGTATATTGATATACAAGAGATGTTTGCTTTTTTTGAGTTATTTTTGGCCTTGAATTGATGAATTGATAAATGACCCAAGAGATTGAAAATACCTAATATTATAATTCTATTGAGATTGAGATACATCAGTCGATATCACTTATTGAAAACTTTTAAATGTTATAGCCCTATAGTCATTAATGGCGCTTAAGTTGACTTAATGAACCGATCAACTAAGTTTTTTTCGGAACTTTGAGTGAGAATAAAAGATATATGCTCGTTTTCCAGAGCCACAATTGTCGTCACTTTGAGATCATCATGTACTATAGCTGTGACTATATAGGTACTTATAGGTATTTCATATCCGATGTTGCGCTCTTGATTTCGAGATTACTTTGTTTTGATGCAATAAAGTAATGCTTCAGGCATTTCCAACAAAAGGCATCCGTTTTCGAACACAATACAGCGATGGTAATGCGTATTTTTAGAAACGTTACATCAAAAAATTCCATATAACACAGGCGATTCAATTAAATCGAGCAACTTCCGGCGATAGCATTTGTCTGTTGGCTTCATGCTATCATTGATATCGCGGTTGGCTAGCAGTGCGTGAATTGCGCACGATCCCACTTCACGATATTGTTCCAGAGATGAATCAAAAGATAATTAAGCACCTATGAAGACTGATATGAAGACTTACTGACATTGGGCATATATGTTGCCGAATAAGTTTTTTCCCGTTTTTTTCACTTATTCTGCAAGAAGTTTTACAGCATGTCAGTCTTTATCTACACGGAAAAAATATTGTTTGAATCTGTAGGTAAATTGAACGAAACAGGGTGGCATTGAAATATAGGTACAAAAATTTCAAACACAGAAAGTCCGACGTGTACTATCGAATGGCACTAATGAAAAAATTTAGGGATCCAAATAAAATTTGAGGTTAGACCCCTTTGTCACACGGTAGCAAATCTGACGTCACCTCTGTTCAAATTTCCATGCGGTGGGCCACGTATTTTGATTTTTGGAATGGAATTTCTCGTTAATTAAAAGAATTAGAAAAAATCTGATATCATGGGTATATTCCTTCGACTGCATCATATTGATGTGCTGAATATGTGCACTTATTTCAAAAACACCTTGTATATCCACGACCAAATATCTTGTTACTGCAACAATTTTTGTTTTTTCAACAGCTTTTAAGCTGCTGATAAGTGTTGTCCCGATGGTGCGAAATTTGTCAAAAAAAATGTCGCTGTCTCCCCAGCTATATTGAAAGGTATATGAATCGATATAATAACATTTCAGCCATGGCAACCAATACTCAATACATTGAAGGCGATCAATAAAACTTCGAACAATGCAATACCAATCATAATAGGGTCATCGAATAATAGGTAACTTTACAAAATATTCCGTTTTAATCAATTTTGAGTATTGTCATAGTTTTTGCTGCATCCAACAGTTTTTTCTTCAATCGCTCGGCAGCTACTTTTATCCTGTATTGAAAATTCCAAAATGGGATTAATTTAAAACCATCGTATTATTCAATTCTGTGAACAATTTCATTTCAATATTATAGGCAAACTTGGTAATCGGCAGTTTAGCTCGCTAGAATAAAATTGATCGCAAAAGCTGAAAATGATATACAATTATTTTCCAATAATGGAATATTGCTAACAGCAATTTCATTACCATACCTATACCTATAATGAAATTGTTTTATCGTTATGCGGCGTAGGTGATCAGTAAAATGCTGAATATGAATTGAGTAGATATGAATAATCTCATCAAGAATTTGGTGTGATAAGTATAAGTATATACAGGGTATTATCGGAATCGAGGCGAAAAATAAATGGGGTTGTTGTGAGTATATCTATGAGATACTGGTACAATAAATCACATTACACATTTTCTTGTAAAGCTATTACCCTTTAAATACATCATGTTCCACTTCAAATGCCTCCTCTTTCTTTATCCATGTAAGACATACAAGAATTCAACTATGTACATACCTATGTAGATTTGGATGAGATTGACAATCATATCAGTTAGAAACATGATTTTGAACATTGCCGTGCATTTTTAATAAATTAAAAAGACATACATCTTCAGTAAAATCATAAAAGGCGTTCTTTTGAGTAAAAAAATGATCTTATAATCAATCGCAGAATATCCCACAATCAGATATTATGATATAACTTTTTATCGCTTGGAGCGCACAAAAAGGAATCTGTATAATGTTTAAAGAACATCAAGCGTACCTAGGGAGGATATAGGGAGATTATAAGTTCTTGGAAATATTCCTTGCAATGAGTTCCAGAGCTCTATCGTTCTATAAAGAAACGAATTTTGATATAGTACTGTTCGACATATTTCGAGTTTGTCTGGCTGGTATTGCTATAGTCGTGAAAAGATCAGAGAATTCTGAGGAAGACTTCTACGGTGTCACAACGATGTCAAAGTGTTAGTGAGTGTGGCATCACCCACCAGGTGAATGGCTCTTCTATGGATGGAATCTATGTGTATATTATAATACCCTAACAACACGAGTACATCCTAGGGACTTCCCAGGGACGTCCCTAATTTCAAATAAGGACATCCCAGGGATATCTTTTCTGGGACAAAGTACATACTAGGGACGTCCCAGGGACATCCGCTTTCAGACAAAAAGGACATCCAAGGGAAAATGAGGGGCATTATGCATTTACGATCTCTGTTTGCGAAAAATGGTCATTTCTTGAGAAGTTTTGAGACTATATTCTTTATTTTCATCACAATTATTTTCCGGAAGGAATATATTTTCGAAAAAATTCGACTCAATATTTTGATGATATTGAATGACTCTCTGATGTGAAGAATGGATATCAGATATTCCAGGGACACGAATGGGATAACCTAGGGATGTACCGGGTGGGATGTCCACTGGACAACTACTGTCGGGACATCCCCTGGATGTCCCAGTCATTTCCTTGTACCGCGGGACATAAAAGGGACGCACCTAGGACATCCCTGTGTTGCTAGGGTATCGATATTTTTCAATTCGTCGTTCATTTTATTACAAGAATAACACTTCAAATTCCAAAATAGTCATTTCTATTTCAAAAAAGATCAAATGTCTTTCATGATGCACCATTTGAATTTTAAAACTGAAAAAGCACAGGCTAATGATTTTGACGTTAGGTGATATTTTCATTCACTATGTTATTGGATCGCATCTGGCTTCTGGTTCCTGTCATTGTGGCATCATATCAATAGAAAAGATTAGTTTTGAAATTGAAAAGATGAATTTTGAAATTGATATGGAATTTTTTGAAAATAAAATGACTAATTTGAAATACCAATGATACTTCTGATATTTTCTGAAATAAAAATGACTGATTTGAAATATAATTGATAGTTTTTGAAATTTACTTGACTCTTTTTGAACTAAAATTGGAAGGTATAGTAATAATAAAAAAAACATTTACTGATACCAAATTTTTGCATGCTAATTATTATATAATAAGCCGCCCTTCATACCACGTCTTTCACCCGTTTATTTGAATTGTATATGTTTCTTCTTAGTAATTAGGTTATGAATTAGTAATCGACCTTCTCGTTCTTGAAGCTAATAGACATCGCGTGATTGGCTGACAAAAATATATAACAAAGTAGAACTTGGAAAGACAAGTATAGGTATAGGCTACCATTAAATAATCCAGCAGTTAAGTTCCCATCCATGCCGATGAATTTTGTAAACGTATCGATTTATAGACACGGTATATCAACATCGAAATAAATGATGAGTTTCTTTTCTGTACAGACAGAATGCAATGAATTCAGGATACTATATCTGTAACCGAACATTCAAATGAATTGTTCCGATATAACTTCCCGATCTTGAGAACTTATATCTTCCAAAAGTTCAAATAAATATTCGTGTTACTTTTATATGTAATAATTATTCTTCACAATTCACAATCATAAAAATCTGAAAGGAAGATCATCAACATACTGTTCATGTTATTAAAATCATCTCATTACATCGTCGTCAGACCCCTCAGAGGTTCACAACTTGTGAGTACGGGAAGC